GCTGCAGGGCGGGGGCGGGGTCAGGGAGACCCTGCAGTCAGTGCTCAGGCTGGGGTTTGATCCCCTCCCACAGGCTGTGACATCTCTGATGAGGCAACACTTCCTGAATGGCCATGGCTGGATTTTTTTTTTCTTTTGGTGGTACTGGGGCTACAGGGATTTGAACTCAGGACTGTGTTTCTTAGGCTGAGCTCTGCCTCCAATCCTGCATAGAAAGAGATGAACAATGATAATAAAGTAGAATAATTTTTACAATATGCTGTCATAAAACTAAAGTGATCAGTGTATTTCTAGAACTTTTTCTGGTAAGAGAAGCCAAAGATAAGGGACCTACTGAGTATACAACAGGAGTATAGAGCTAGACAAGTTGTAAAAACAGAATGTCTAAAGCCAGGCACTAGTACTTCACACCTGTAATCCTGGTTACTCAGGAGGCTGAGACCTGAGGATCATGGTTCAAAGCCAGCCTGCATAGGAAAGGTCAGGAGACTCTTATCTCCAAACAGAAAACCAGAAGTGGAGCTGTAGCTCGAAGTGGTAGAGTGCTAGCCTTGAGAAAAAGAGAGAGAGAGAGAGAGAGAGGGAGCTCAAGGACAGTACCCAGGCCCTGAGTTCAAGACCCAGGACTAGCAACACACACACATCCAAAAAACAACAAAAAAAAAACCACCAAAACAAAACAAAACGAAAACACCAATTACGTCTGGTCATCTTATGGTGGCACTATACGCACTGCATACTTTCTAAAAATTTTTCCTGTCATTATTTTCCTTCTTTGTTTAAGCAGTGTTTAGCTTACAGAAGTGATGTGATGTTTTTTTTTGCGGGGGGGGGGGGGGGTGTCGGTTGTGGGTCGTGAGCTCTGGGCCTGGGAGCTGTCTCTTAGCTCTTCAGTTCAAGGCTAGCACTCTACCACTTGAGCCACAGCGCCACTTCTGATTTTCTGAGTGGTTTATTGGAGATAAGAGTCTCATGGACTTTCCTGCCCAGGCTGGCTTTGAACCCATCCTCAGATCTCAGCCTCCTGAATAGCTAGGATTACAGGCATGAGCCACTTGTGCTTGGCAAAAGATTAAAGATTTTAAACAATGAAAAATAAAAATAAAGACTAGCTGGGAGTGTAGCTCAGTGGTATAGCACTTGCCTAGAATGTTCCAGGCCCAGAATTCAAACTGCAACACTGCAAAACAAAAAACATAGGATCTGGGCTGGGAATATGGCTTAGTGGTAAAGTGCTTGCCTATCATGCATGAACCCCTTGGTTCGATTCCTCAATACCACAAACACAGAAAAAGCCGGAAGTGGTACAGTGGCTCAAGTGGTAGAGTGCTAGCCTTAAGCACAGAGAGGGTCAGGAACAGTGCCAGGCCCAGAGTTCAAGCCCCAAGACTGGTAAAACAAAACAAACAAAAAACAAACAAGCATAGGATCTCAGGATTCAATGAATTTCAAGAAGCATGGCCGGAAGGCATCGTCCTTTCCCTCCTGTGAGCTGTGCTTCTGGAGCATGTCCCCAGACTGAAAGCCATCCAATCCACACAGCTGAGGCTGAGCAGCAGAGCTGAGCAGGACCCAAGTGGAGGCTGCAAGTAGGAGGGAGGGAGGGAGGGATCTCAAGGGCTTTGACAAAGGACCCTACAACCACCAGTCCTGGTGCTCACCCAGAAGGGCAGCAGTGGACCAGAGCATGCTTGGCTGGGGACCTGCTATGAAGGCCCATCATGCCCCTCCCTCATGCTCTCTAGATCAGACAATGCTTCATCCAAAGGACCACGGCCCTGGGCCTCACTCACAGTGACTGAGGGCCCTCGAAGGAGGATGAATGGAAGATGGGGAAATCAATGCTCTGATGGCATGTGAATGCTCCCTCCTCTCTCCTCTCTCCTCTCTCCTCTCTCCTCTCTCCTCTCCCCCCTCTCTCTTTCTCTTTCTCTCTCTCTTTCTCCCCTCTTTCCTCCCCCCAGTTCTGGGTTTTGAGCTGAGGTCCCAGACACTGTCCCTTAGCATTTTCCCTCAAGGCTAGCACTCTACCATCTGAGCCACAGCTTCACTTCTGGCTTTTCAATGGAGATAAGAGTCTCAGTGACATTCCTGCCCAGGCTAGCCTCCTGAGTAGTTAGAATTACAAGTGTGACCCATTGGCACCTAGCTTCAAAGTCATAATCCTTCTGTCTCAGCCTCCTGAGTGCGTATGCGCCACTATGCCCAACTTTACCCACTAACCTCTAACCTTTGTCCCTGGATCTGCAATCTAGGACATAATCAAAAGGTAATGAATGAAAGTGTGCAGCGCTTCCTCTTCTTCTTCTTCTTCTTCTTCCTCCTCCTCCTCCTCCTCCTCCTCTTCCTCTTCCTCTTCCTCTTCTTCTTCATATCATGGGGCTTGAACTCTGGGCCTGGGTGCTGTCCCTAAGCTCTTCAGCTCAAGGCTAGCACTCTACCACTTGAGCCACAGCGCCACTTCCGGCTTTTTTCTTTTTGCTTATGTGGTGCTGAGGAATTGAACCCAGGGCCTTATGCATGCAAGGTAAGTGCTCTACCATTGAGCCACCTTCCCAGCCCCTCTCATGGACTTTTCTGCCAGAGCTGGCTTTGAACCATGATCCTCACATTTCAGCCTCCTCCTGAGTAGCTAGGATTACAGGTGTGAGCCACTGGGGCCCGGCTTGGAAGCCTCTTTCTAAACCACCCTGGTTTTGTGCATCTGGCTCCCCAAGTCTGACTGAGGCTGGCAGAGGTGACCTCGCCCAAGCTAGTGATTGGAGGGGCCTGGCTGGGGGCCAGGGCTGCTCCCGAAGCTGTAGCTTCTGCCTCCAGGGCTCTTGCCAGGGGGGGTGGAGGGAAGGAAGCTGGAGAGCTGGTGTCTGTGGAGGATTGAGCTAGGCACACCAGGGGCTGATCAGAACAGTGAACCCCTGGAACTCAGCTGTCCCCACCCTGCAGCCCTTCCAGAAGTATCTTCCTCCCACTTCCCTGGGACCTTTGACCAGGTTCAGAAAGGCCCCATCTGAAGGGGGCAGGGAGTGGAGGATTTTGGTTTTGTTTTGTTTTTAACGGGAGAAAGGAATTCTCTTTTCTAGAGAGGTTCTGGGTAATTCCAGCTTGCTTTCCCTGCCAAGTTCCTTGCCCAAGAATTCATAGCGCTCTCCAGGGGCCGTAGCCCCTCAGCCCGTACCTGCTGGTAGGTAGGGGTCAGCTGGAAGGGGTTTGGGTTTGAATGAGCAATTCTGCAGGGAACTGCAGGAAGGGACTTGTGTCAGTCAGCAAAGGGTGGAAGGCATTGGAGGATGGACAGAACCAGCCCATGTGACCTTCCCAGTCTCCCACGTACCCAGGACCATTTTCCTAGGGACTGGTGAACTCTGCTTCCCTGAAAAGCTGTGTCTTGGTTGAGAAAACATGGGACAACCAGGAAAGAAGAGGAAATGGGGCACATTTATGGAGCCCCTACTTTGAGGCCAAGAGGTTGGGCTGGCACCCTCCCTCAAGTTTTGTGTGTGTATGTGTGGGTTGTGGGCTTCCCCTCAGGGCCTGGGCTCTGTCCCTGAGCTCTTTGGGTTCAAGGCTAGCTCTCTACCACTTTGAGGCATAACACCAGTTCCCATTTTCTGGTGGTTAATTGGAGTAAGACTCTCACAGACTTTCCCGCCTGGGCTGGCTTTGAACCCCCATCCTCAGATCTCAGCCTCCTGAGTAGCTAGGATTCCAGGCGTGAGCCACCCTAACCCACTCTTGACTTTATAGCAGTCAGGAAGACAGATTCCCACCCACTCCGCAAAACTACCCCAGACAATGCAGACACAGAGAGATCGGGATGCAACTACTCTGCCTGTGGTGGTGTGGGAAAGGCATCAGAAGAAAAAGACATTTGACTGGGGTTTTGAAGGATGAGGAGGAGTAAGAGAGGAGACTGGGAAACAGCAGCCAGGACTGTGGAGAGAATTGGAGCTGAAGTATAGAATTCCAAGGTGGAAGGCAGGGAGGTGGCTGCCCTCAGATACAGGCCTGCCTGGCTAGGTACGTGAGGAGGGTTTGTAGTAAAAACTGAGAGCCCGAAAATCCAAGCTGTGACAGGGAGTTTGCAAAGCCTTCTCCCAACGCACTCTGGATGCTGAGTGTTCCCGGAAAGGTCAATCAGTCCTGGCTTTAGGGGACTCAGACTTAGGTTTATGCAAATTGTAGGCTGTTTACTGTTTAGCTCTCCTTCGAGAATAAAGTCACCCACCACTTGTATACAAAATACATCACGAGATGAAGTGTGTGCCTTACTTCCTTGCACAAGACCAAAGAAAACCTTGGTTAATGGAACCTCGGGATCTGTGGCCGGTGGAAGACTACGGGTCCCCTGGTCCCCCAAACCTCCGTTGCACGATCCGGTCTCCGTTCTTGTGTTGCTCCCGGTAGGGCTGCAACAAAAACAACAAAACAACAAAACACCAAGCTGGGCACCAGTGGCTCACGCCTGTCATCCTAGCTACTCTGGAGGCTGAGATCTGAGGATCACGGTTCAAAGCCAGCCCTGGCAGGAAAGTCTGTGAGACTCTGATCTCCAATAAACCACTAGAAAACCAGAAGTGGCGCTGTGGCTCAAGTGGCAGGGCGTTCGCCTTGAGCGCCCATGCCCAGAGTTCAAGACCCACGACCGACAAAAGCAAAAAAGCCCCCGTCTCCACCCCACCCCCCCAGCCCCGGGCCAGGGCGGGGATTGAAGAGGTGCCTGGCACAGCCCCAAGGCAGGAACGACCCGCAGCCCACGGGGCGGAGGCCGAGCCCAGCCTTGGCGCACACCCAAGAGGTGGAGGCCGGGCACCGCTGGGCAGCAGGGCCTCCCCGCGGGGCGCCGTCCTCGGCGGGGATTGGCGGTGGGCGTCGGCGGGGCCGGGTGGGGGGGAAGGGGCGGGGAGGAACCCGCGGCTGCCCGGGAGAGAAAGTGCGCTCGGCGGGGCTGCGCGCGCTCCTTCCGCGCCGGTCCAGACCTCGGGGCTGCAGCTGGGGCCGGGCAGGGCCGCGCCGGGCCGGGCGGTCACCCACGGCGCGCGGCGGAGCAGCGCGGCGCGCGGGGTAGGAAGGCGGGAAGCCGGCGCCCCGCCGCCGGGGAGGCGCAGGGATGCACCCCGCCTGGCTCGCGGCGATGCGGGGTGGGAAAAGTCGGGGGCTGGGGGAAGGGGCGGCCCAGGCGAGACCCCACGTCCCGTCTGCCGCCGAGCGGGCGCGGAGGGCTGCGAGCCGGGGGCGCGCCCCGCCCCGCCCCGCACCCCGCACCGTCCCGCACGGCCCGCGGCGCATCCCGGGGTACGCGGGCCGGGGATGAGTCTCGGCCTCCCTCGGGGAGGGCGAGGCTGCCCGGCTCGCAGCCAGACCCAGGGGCTCGCCTGGGGTTGCCCGTCACCACAGACGCCCCCGCCCCCAAACCAGGGAACATTTGCAACTTCGGGGACCCTGGAGTCGCAGATGGGGCGATCGCAGAGGCGAGGTGGCTCTGGGGGCAGCCAGGAGGGCGGTCCTCCCCTCGGGTCCTCCTCTCCCGGCCACCTGCCAGGGTCCCCAGCTCTGGATGGAGCCTGTCCCCAGAGCCCGTGTCCTGGCCAGGCTCCTGGGGCGGAGGGGACCCAGGAGGCCCAGGAATCTCCGCTTAGACCCGGAAAAGTAATCACTAAAAGAATCGATTCGAGTGCCAAATGAGTGAGCGCGGGCGTTGGCAAATGTGCCAGGCTCTGCTTCGCTGACTTTGGCTTTTGTGTGCTGGGTTTTTGCACAAGAATTTAGCGCCTTCGAATTGCAGTCTTAAAATGTTCAATGTGCAGGGTGGAGCTTGTTGAATGTTTTGTACTGAGTCGCATACATTGCTGACGTCCCGCGTACAGTGACATGCACACACCGCACACACACACCTGTAGTGTGTGTGGATGAAACACGCGCGTGTACACTGCACCTGGCTCAGCAGGTGAGCACACTGCCCGTGGCGCCTGCTTTTCGTGGAGCTTCCCTAAGCAGGGAAAGGCTGGCTTGGGTTTACGATGGGACACAGTTCTTGTTTTTGTGCTGTTATTGGGTATTGGGGCTTGAACTCAGGGCCTGGGCGCTGTCCTTTTTACCCAAGGCTAGCATTCTACCGCTAGAGCCACAGTTCCATTTCCAGCTCTTGGTGATTAATTGGAGTTAAGAGTTTCACGGGCTTTCCCCACCCAGCCTGCGTCAGAACTCAGTCCTCAGATCACAGCCTCCTGAGTTGCTAGGATTACAGATGTGACCCCAGCTGGCATGGCTTTTTAAAAAGGAATTTCTTGACTGATTTCAAACAATAATCCTGGTTACTTTAGTTCTGAACTACCTGCTCTCAATAACTGTAGCAGTGTTTTTAATTGTCTTCTCTTTTCTATTTTCCTCCAGAAACAAGTGGTTCCTGAACTTGTACCAGGGATGGGCATGTTCTATTCTGTGCGTGTGAGTTACATGGCTGGTGTGGGGCCTTTAGTGTTCTCTGCTGTGCCCCACCACTCTCTGGAATCTGGTGTGGTCTCCTGGTCGTGGAAGTTCTCCCTGCTGTCACCAGAGCACTGGGGCTGGAGGTGGAGGGGAGGTGTGAGGGTGGGTGGTAGGGTGGGCTCAGCCCCCCCACCTCCCACTCTAACACATGGCCTCCCCTTCAGCCGGAGATGCTGCTGCTCCTCTTCTTGCCTCTGCTGCTCACAGCTGCACCAGAGTCAAAGGTGAGTGCAATTCCGCTCAGCCCCAATCCAGCCCCACCACCTAGTAGAGGTGAGGGAGGCCAGGGCAGGGATGCTGTAGGAGGCAGGCTGGAGCCCATTCCTGCCAAAACAACATTCCCAGGAGAGGAGCAAGGCCAGGAAGATGCCATCAGGAGTTGGCACCTTAGAGCTTCTCACCAAACTCTCCTTCCAAAAGGGTGTGGGGCTGGGCACCGGTGGCTGGCTCCTGTAATCCTAGCTACTCAGGAGGCCGAGATCTGAGGATCATAGTTCAAAGCCAGCCCAGGTAGGAAAAGTCAGTGTGACTCCTATCTCCATTAAACCACCAGAAAACTGGAAGTGGCGCTGTGGCTCAAGTGGTAGAGTGCTGGCCTTGAGCTGAAGAGCTGAGGGACAGCGCCCAGGCCCAGAGTTCAGGCCCTACGACTGGAAAAAAAAAAAAAAAAAAAAGTCACCAGTACTAGTGGCTTCCTTACTAGTGCAAAGAGTAGATATAGGAAACCAATTATCCAGCAAATGAAGTTCCATTAAAAGGGGCCCTGCAGAATGCACCTGGGTGCTCAGGGCCTAGAGGCTGTGTCCTTCAGCTCCTTGTGCTCAAGGTCAGCACTCCACTACTTGAGCCTTAGTTTCACATCCTGCTTTTGGCTGGTTAATTGGAGATAAAAGTCGCACAGACTTTCCTGCCTGAGCTGTCTTGAAACAATGATCAGATCTCAGCCTTCTGAGTAGCTAGGATCACAGGTGTGAGCTACTGGTGCCAGGCTGCAGAGGATATTCCAGATGGCATTTTTGGGAGGAGGGGGTCTGCCCAGCTGGGCATCTAACAGAGGCAGGCAGTTACTGTATCTGGAGAGACCAAAGGGGGTGCCACCCTGCCCACCTCTTGTGTGGCCAACAGAAGGGAGAGGGGAGGACCTCTGAGAAAGGACCCAGACTATTCAGATTTGGGGAGGCTAGAGGTGGTGCAGGATCTGTGGAAATGCGGGTTGAGGATGAGAACAGGCAGGGTTGAATGGACACTGGACAAGTCCATGGTCCATCCCCAGCCACAGTCTGAACAGCAGGAGAACTACAGCCATCTTCTTCATGTTCTTCTCCCTGCCAGCTCCCATGTCCCCTCACCTCTGCTACCCTACAGCCCTTGTTCCCAAGTTGCCACCTTCTTAGGTCTCCCATGTGCTGGTGCCCAGCTGCATGTATGCCAAAGCCCAGGGAGAGAGGGGCCACCGACCTAAAGCCATCCCATAACACCCTCTGCCTTGGGAGTTAGAATAGTTAGAATGCCCAACCTGCAAGCGTCATGCAGGGAATCAAGACTTATGATAGGGTTAGGTGCCTTTGCTCTTAGACCAGCCACAGCCACAGTACCTTCTACCTCCTCTTCTCACAGGGTGAGTCCCAAAGAAGCCCTGGCCTGTCTCCTCCCTCACTCCTGTCCTTCTCTGGTGGGGTGCCCCATTGGACAGGTCTGCTGGTCCCCCCTTGGGATGCTGAGCATCTTCTCAGGGTCCCTTGGTGACACTTGCTCTCAGGTTTTCTTTGAGGAGATGAATGGTTAGAGGTGATTAAAGGTGGTAGCAGCGAGGCCCTCCCCTGGGTCATTTGCTGTCACCGGCTCTGTCTCTCTCCCGTGTCCTATGTCCCCCATTCCGTGGGCAGTGGACTGTCCTGGGAACTCTTAGTGGAGCTGGAGGAGGAATGGGTGGGGTGTGGAGAGCAGAGGAGACAGGACAGGACAGGCCTGGGCCGGGCAGGGCTTACGCACCACACTGCTGCCACAGCAGCTCGTGCATGCGTAATTACAGGGAACAAAATGTGCTGGCTCTGCTCGCGATCCGACGTGTTTCCTGCAGACACACAGTGTGGAGGTGCCGGAGAGGCTTAGGGTCACTCAGATGAGCCCAGATAGGGTTCCTCTGTCAGTGTGCAGGTGGCCCCGCACACGTGTGCCCACCCCACAGGTGCCAGATGCAGAAGGAATGTTTTAAAGATGCTTCACCATGATCCCAGCCCCTGGATAGCTCTGTGCTTGGGCCATTTCCCTCTCATCCTGTTGGGTGAAGTGGCTCTGTGGCTGGGGCGCCCCTCCTTGCCTGGAGGAGGGAACGAACAAGGACAGCAGTGCACTGGGAGGGGAGGTGGGAGAGGGTCCTGAACTCTTGTCATGCACTGATGGAGCTTGGTGTATGGGCTGGGGCGAAGCGAGCAGAATTCCGAGTCACCCACTCTACCATGCCATCACTGACTTTGTTTTGTTGGTTATGGGGCCTGAACTCTGGGCCTGGGCGCTGTCCCTGAGCTCTTCACCTCAAGGTGAGCGCTCTACCATTTGAGCCATAGCACCACTTCTGGTTTTCTGGTGTTAATTGGGGATAAGGGTCTCACAGACTATCCTGCCCGGGCTGGCTTTGAACTGCAAACCTCAGATCTCAGCCTCCTGAGTAGCTAGGAGTATAGGTGTGAGCCACCAGCTCCCAGCTTCACTGTCTTTTTTTTTTATTAATGAAAATAGGTCAGGCATTGGTGGCTCACCCCTGTAATCCTAGTGTCTCAGGAGGCTGAGATCTGAGGATCGCAGTTCAAAGCCATCCAGGGCTAGAAAGTCTGTGAGACTCTGATTTCCAATTAACCACTAGCAAACTGGAAATGGTGCTGTGGCTCAAGTGGTAGAGTGCTAGCCTTGAGTAGAAAAGCTTAGGGACAACACTTGGGCCCTGAGTTCAAGTCCCGTGACTGACAAAAAAATTGTTATTGTAAAGGTGGTTTATAGAGGGGTTACCATTTCATCAGTAGTGTAATGAGTACATTTCTTTTTGGACAATGTCACCTTTTCCTTTGCTCTCTCCCAGTTTTTTTCCCTCCCATCCCCACGTAGAAGCTGTATAGTTCATTTTCAACATAATGTCTAGTGATTATCACTGGCGTGTTTACCCTTTGTCTCTCTATTTCTGTGCTTCCTTTGCCTCCCGAAGACAGACAAGAGAAAAGAAAACCTCTTGTTTCCATTTCCTGGCGCTCGTTTTAATAAACATCACATTATGTGATCGGGGCACTGAGGCATTGCACCTCTGTGTTCTTTCCCTAAGAGTATCCTCTTTTGGTGAATGCCCAGAGTCCTGTATGATTTATCATGTACTTGTGTATTTTAAATCTAGCTTCCAAGGAGAGAAAACAGGCGCCATTTGTCTCTCTGAGCTTGGTTTCCTTCACTTAACATGATTTGTTTCGGGTGCATCCACTTTCCTGCGAATAGTATACGATTCTTTAGAAAATTCCATTGTGTATAAGTACTTCTTTGGATCCACTCATCTATTGTAGGGCATCTGGGTTGCTGCAGTTGCTGCCTTTTGAAAACAAAATACTGGGTCCAATCCGTTTCATGTCACTAAGAGACCGCATTGATACTTTGGTTCTCTAGTTTGGGAAGTTAGGGGGTTCAGGCCCTGCTAGAGGTGAAGGCGTTACAAGGGAAAGGTGAGACCTTTGGTCTGGCTACCTCTTCCTTCTTGGCTTTGTGCTTGGTTCAGCAAGTTTAGTGCAGTTTGGGCTGCCTCAGATATAGGTAACTGGAGAGCCAACCTCACTCTAGCAGGCTTCCAGAGGCTCCTACAGGGAGAAGAGCTTGCTCTTCCTCCCACTGCATTAACACTAGCTTTCTCTAAAGAATGCTAGTTGGGCTGGGAACGTGGCTTAGTGGTAAAGTGCTTGCCTTGCATGCATGAAGCCCTGGGCTCAATTCCTCAGTACCACATATCCAGAAAAGGCTAGATGTGCTGGGAAGGTGGCTCAATGGTAGAGCGCTTGCCTTGCATGCTCAAGGCCCTGGGTTCGATTCCTCAGCACCACATAAGCAAAAAGAAAAAAGCCGGAAGTGGCGCTGTGGCTCAAGTGGTAGAGCACTAGCCTTGAGCTGAAGAGCTGAGGGACAGCGCCCAGGCCCAGAGTTCAGGCCCCATGACCGGACCAAAAAAAAGAAGAAAAAAAAAAAAAGAAAAGGCTAGATGTGGCGCTGTGGCCCAAGTGGTAGAGCACTAACCTTGAGCAGAAAATCTCAGGGACAGCACCTAGGCTCTGAGTTCAAGCCCTAGGATTGGTTAAAAAAAAAAAAAAAAAAGAATGCTAGTGATATTTTCCCCCTAAAGATTCTTATGTGGCAACACTGTAAAAATAAAGTCCCTGCTAGAAGATGGCACATGTTTAGTCTATTGTCTATCTCCTGTCAACATTGTGAAATGCACAGGGTCTCTGTTGGTTGTGTCTTTCATGCAGGTGTTGTGCCCTGTGCTCATTTGTCTCTCTGTGACTTCTTCTATCTGCCTCGTGTGTGTGTGTGTGTGTGTGTGTGTGTGTGTGTGTGTGTGTATGTGTGTGTGTCCTTGTACATGTGTGCACAGACCAGTTCAGTGTCTTGAACTCAGGGCCTGAGCACTGTCCCTGAGTTGCTCAAGGCTAGTACTCAACCACTTGAGCCACAGGCTCCACTTCTGGCTTTTTGGTGACTAATTGGAGATAAGAGTCTTGCAGACTTTCCTGCCTGGGCTGGCTTTGAACCACATATCCTCAGATCTCCATCTCCTGAGTAGCTAGGATTACAGGCGTGAGCCACCATACCGGGCTAGTTGGCTCATTTTGTAATGAGTATATTGGTGTTCCTGACAGTGTCGGTATGTCCTAAAGGGACAGTTCTGGGAGAGAGACTCCAGGTCTGGCTTGCAGGTCTCCTGTGAGGACTCCTGGCTCACTTTGTCTTGCTCCCGTCTTTCACAGGCTTCCCAGGTGAGGCGGCCGAGTGACCGCTGGGGCGCCTGGGGCCCGTGGAGCCCGTGCAGCAGGACGTGTGGAGGGGGCATCAGGTTCCGGGAGCGCCCTTGCTTCTCGGAGAGGTAAGGGGGATGAAAGGCCAGCTGGCTTCTGGGTCATGGGGGACCGGTGTCATGGGCCACGAGGGACAGATTTATTCAGGAAGCACAGGAGCAGAGTGCTGGAGAGCAGAGCCGGCCTGCGTCCCTGCTCCTGCTGCAGCGCGCAGCGCAGAGCATGCATTTGTGGAATTAATGAAGAATGTCCAGCCAGCCCTTCCTGGGGCCTGCGGCTTCTCTCCCTCCGCTGCTTGTCAAGTACAGATTCTCCAGGCATATTTCACTTTGTGCCTTGCACCCTAACACCTGTGGGCACAGGGTGGTGAGGTTGTGTGTGTATGTGGGGAGCAGGAGGGGTGGAGTCTTCTGTTTACTCTCCTTGCAGACTAACCTTACCCGTGACCTCTTAGCACCTGGGGCTTTTTTGGAAATTTGCTTTAAGAAGCAAGGTTAGGGCTGGGAAGGTGGCTCAGTGGTAGAGTGCTCGCCTAGCATGCATGAAGCCCTGGGTTCGGTTCCTCAGTACCACATACACAGAAAAAGGTAGAAGCGGTGCTGTGGCTCAAGTAGTAGAGCATTAGCCTTGAGCTGAAGAGCTCAGGGACAGCACCCAGGCCCAGAGGTCAAGCCCCACAACCAACGACAACAAAAAGCAAGGTTAGAGCTAGCTAGCCACAGTGGCTTATGCCTGTAATCTTTATTACTCAGGAGGCTGAGATCTGAGGATTTCAGGGGTGAAGCCAGCTCAGGCAGGAAAGTCTGATGTCTAGCTCTAATTAGTCCTCAAAAAGCTGGAAGTGGAGCTGTGGCTCAAGTGGTAGAGTGCTACACTTGAGAAAAACAAAAACAAAAACCACCTCAAGAACAGGGCCCAGGCCCTAAGTTCAAGCCCCAGGACTGGAAGACAAGGAGGAGGAGGAGGGATAGAGGAGAAAGAGAAGGAGAGGGAGAGTCAGACCAAACACAGGGCTAATCACACCCCCCCAAGGGATTTCTGTGTGACTCACCCCCTCCTCGCCCGGCCTCCACTCTGGCTCACCAAGCACCCAGTCTCCTAAGCCAGGGGCCCTGCAGGAGTGCCCAGTATTCTCATCCCACAGGAGAGACGGAGGTGCCAGCTGCGTGGGCCCAGCCCGGAGCCATCAAATCTGCCACCCAGAAGTAAATCCCTCCCAGCCCGGGCCCCCCACTTCCCCAGCCCCTTCCTCACCAGCTCCCTGGATTGGCCTTGGGGGCCCAAGCCTCCCCCACCCAGGGGCGCGCACGAGATCCCTGGGGCTCAGGTCCCCGCCTGGGGCTTGGAGGGGCTGAGGGTGGGAGGGGGCGGGGATCCCGGGCGGGCTTGTGGGGGTCGGGGGGGACCCCACCCCCCACGCGGAGGCTGGGACCCAGCTTCGGCTCCATCACACAGAGCTGCCCCCACGGCGCGCGCGACTTCCGAGCCCAGCAATGCGCGGAGCTGGACGGCATGGAGTTCCAGGGTCGGCGGTACCGGTGGCTGCCCTACTACGGGGGTGAGCGCCCGCCCGGCCGTGCCACCTCCACTGTCACACGTCACCTAACTCCTACAGAGCCACCAGGCCCCCCCACCCCGCCCCCGGCACGTGGACACGCGCGCATGCGTGCTGAGGGGCCCCTCCCCTTGTCCCTTTCAAAGCGTGCCGGTGGGGTGCAGCCCTGGCCGGGTTGGGGAGGCCGGGAATGGTGGGGGCAAACTGCAGAGCGCCTGCGAGGGGCTCTGTCCCGGGAATCCCACTTACCCTCATCTGTGCTGGGAGGATGTGGGTGGAGGAGCAGGGTGCAGGGAGTTTGTTTTTAAACAGCTAGAGCTGGGAAAACCCAGACACACACACACACACACCACACACACACACCACACACACACACCACACACACACACACACACACACACACACACACACACAGCCTTAAGTTAGTCCTAGGCATCAGTTGTCACTGCTCACTGCAAGCCAGTTGTGGCCACCTGGCACCCTGACCCTTGTGTGTCCAGGGTTACCGGGGCCAGAGGAGTGGTCCCACTTTGGTCCTTTGGCATTTTGTACCTCGATCCTGAAGTGGACAGGATTGTTTGTTACCTATCCCATGAAAAACTGACTTACGGAGGAAAGATTATCCAAGGATGTTTGCCTTATAGACATGATTATGATTTATCCTGTTAATATTTATCCTGTTAAACAGTGTATATGTAATGTGTAGATATTAAATATAACAGCTCTTGACAAGGCTGTAGCCTTTTCTTAGCCCTTTTGAGCTTGTTATTATAAATGAGAATAGCTTTTCCTTATTTGGGGATATCTTTGATTTGGCTCTCCAGAGATGCGGCTGATTCAAGGAGAAAGTCCCCCACCCATGGGGGCAGGGTTCTGTGCTAGTGGGGGAGGGTGCTGCTACAAGAACTTGTTCTCCAAGCCACGCATGTGCCTCTGCCCCTGCCTTCGCCCCCTGCTGCAAGACCAGGGCCTGAGTGGGGAATCTCAGCTTTCCTCTCGTGCCCACTCCAGCCCCAAACCAGTGTGAACTGAACTGCATTCCCAAGGGAGAGAACTTCTACTACAGGCACAGGGAGGCCGTGGTGGACGGGACGCCCTGTGAGCCTGGCACCCGCGACGTCTGCGTGGAAGGCGCCTGCCGGGTGAGTCCCCGCCTCCCCCGCCTCTCACTGGCCGGGGTTTCTGACAGGTGGCTCCCTGTCCAGCACCAGAGGGCCAGGGGATGCCAAGAGCTTGATGATCTCTCAGGCTACAAGGACACCAGGCCCAGCTCCTAGGATCTATTGCAGATGCCCTGTGACCCACCCCCACCCCCCCCCAGCTTACCTTTGCCCCCCTTATTTTGTCAGTGATGGGACTTGAACTCAGGGCCTGGATGCTGTCCCTGAGCTTTTTCACTCAAAGCTAGCACTCTGCTACTTGAGTCACAGCTCCACTTCCAGTTTTCTGGTGGTTAATTGGAGATGAGAGTCTCATGGGCTTTCCTGTCGGGACTGGCTTTGAACCATGATCCTCAGATCTCAGCCTCCGGAGTAGCTAGGATTACAGGTGTGAGCCACCAGTGCCAAGCTTTACCTTTGCCCTTTGAGAGCTCAAACTTTATTTATTTATTTTTATTTTTATTTATTTATTTTTTTAAAGGGCCAAAGCTTCTTTTTATTTATTTATTTATTTATGGGGCCTGAACTCTGGGCCTGGGCGCTGTCCCTCAGCTCTTCAGCTCAAGGCTAGCCTTCTACCACTTGAGCCACAGCGCCACTCCGGCTTTTTTTTTTCTTTTTGCTTATGTGGTGCTGAGGAATCGAACCCAGGGCCTCAGGCATGCAAGGCAAGCGCTCTACCACTGAGCCATCTTCCCAGCCCCTTTTTTTTTACTTTATTTTTTTTTTTTTGGTCGGTCGTGGGGCTTGAACTCTGGGCCTGGGCACTGTCCCTCAGCTCTTCAGCTCAAGGCGAGCGCTCTACCACTTGAGCTACAGCGCCACTTCCGGTTTTCTAGTGGTTTATTGGAGATAGGAGTCTCACGGTCTCTCCTGCCCGGGCTGGCTTTGAACCGCGATCCTCAGATCTCAGCTTCCTGAGTAGCTAGGATTACAGGCGTGAGCCACCAGCGCCCGGCTGCTCAAACTTTATTTAAAAAACAAAACAAAAAACCCTCAGGGTGGCTTGTTATAGGAACCTAACCAAAACTGACTTCAGCAAGCCCAAAACTATTGCAAGGGGGTGCTTGAATGGTGCTGCTAGAAACTTCTCTCCCCACAGCCTGCTTTCCCGTCCTCGGTCAGTACCAGGTTTGAGCAGGTTCCTGCCCCTGCATGGCAGCTCCAAGCCTCGGCTGCTCCCGCCTGGAAGCCGCCAGGGCAGGGCCTCATTCCCAGGAGTTCCTGATTTGTCTTGGCCTGTAGCTTACCTGATCTCTTTTCTTAGGAAGGAGAATAAGCCATGGGTTTGGGGAACTCCATCCCAACCCTGCAGGGGGGGGGGCCTCCAGAAGAAGATGGGGTGGTCACCAGAAGCCCAAATGCATGTTGCGCATGAGTGGACTGTCTGCCACCCTGGCTTGCTGCAGGGTGCTGGGGAGCCGAGCTGACCAGGCCAGAGCCCAGGTACGCCTGCCTGCGTCTCCCTCTGCGCTCGCTCATCTTGCCCTCGCCTCTCCCCTTTCCCTTCCCGGCAGGTCGTCAGCTGCGACCACAAGCTAGACTCGCTGAAGCAGGAGGACAAGTGCCTGCGGTGTGGGGGGGACGGTGCCACCTGCTACCCCGTCACGGGCACTTTTGATGCTGATGACCTCAGGAGAGGTGGGGGCCTGGGCTGCGGAGGGCAGGACTCTCTCTCTCTCTCTCTCTCTCTCTGTTGGTCGTGGGGCTTGAACTCTGGGCCTAGACTCTGTCCTCAGCTCTTTAGCTCAAGGCTAGCGCTTTGCCACTGAGCCACCTTCCCAGCCCCATCTGTCTCTCTTTCCTGGGGGCCGAGTTGCCCGGCCTCCATGGCACCCCGTGGGGCCATTGGCTTGGATCATGTCTGACAGCTCCCTGGTGGCTGTGGGGTGGGGTGTGTGCCCACTTCCAGTAGGACCCCTGCCCACTTGTGTGAGCTCACGCCCACCCCCGGCGCCCCTCCCTTCTCTCCCCCCTGGCTTTTTTAAAACGCTTTCCTCAGACAGCAGCCCAGGCCGCAGGCAGCCAGGCCCTCGTCACTCACAGTCGCGCTGTGTGGCTTAGCGTCTGGGGGTGACTCCTGCCCTTGGTTTGATGGAGGGGGGGCGGCATGGACTAGTGCTGCACCCCCACCTGAACCTCTGCCCCCTATCAGGCTACAACCAGATTTTCATAATTCCGGCCGGGGCCACCAGCATCCGAATCGAGGAGGCAGCCGCCAGCAGGAATTTCCTGGGTGAGGATGGGGGCTGGGCGCTGGGTTGGGGGTCAAGGGCACCCAGCTGACCGGGCGCCCGCTCTCCTGCATGCAGCGGTGAAGAGTCTCCACGGGGATTACTACCTCAACGGGCACTGGCGCATCGAGGAGGCCCAGGCCCTGCCCGTGGCCAGCACTGTGCTGCACTATGAGCGGGGCGCTGAAGGGGACCTGGTCCCTGAGCGGCTCCTGGCCCGAGGTCCCACCTCGGAACCGCTCATCATTGAGGTGAGCGGGCAGGGGACGGTGTGGGGAGTGGAGGGGGGGTGCCCTGGGCAGGTGGGGGTCCCTCAACACACACTGAGAGTCACCCGAGTGGGGACCCTGCCATGCAGCTCATCAGCCAAGAGCGCAACCCCGGCGTGCACTACGAGTACTACCTGCCGCTGGGCCGCGGCAGCCCGCGCCCCGCCTTCGGCTGGAGCCACGGCTCCTGGACCGACTGCAGCGCGGAGTGTGGAGGAGGTGAGGGACCCCTGCCCGCGCGGACCCCGGGGAGATGGACTGTGGGTGGGGCTACGGGATCGCCTCCTGGGTACTCCCAACCTGAAGACTAGGAAGGCGGTGGCATCTCTTAGGCCAAGAGCCCCCTGGGGAGTGGAGGCCAGGGACCGCGTGTGAGGCTGCCCCCTGCCACCCACCCCCATCTCATGCCCTGAGTCCTCTATAAATCGGGGATAATAGCTTGGTGTCAGTGGCTCACCCGTGGCTCAGGAGGCTGAGAGCGAAGGATGGTGGTTCGAAAACAACTTGGGTCCAGGAGACTTTTTTATTAAAATTTTTATTTATTTATTTTGTCGGTCATGGGGCCTGAACTCTGGGCCTGGGCGCTGTCCCTGAGCTCTTCAGCTCAAGGCAAGCACTCTACCACTTGAGCCATAGCGCCACTTCTGGCTTTTTCTGTTTATGTGGTGCTGAGGAATTGAACCCAGGGCCTCATGCATGCAAGACAAGCACTGTACTGCTGAGCCACCTTCCCAGCCCCTCCTGACTGGCTTTGAACCTTGATCCTCAGATCTCAGCCTCCTGAGTAGCTAGGATTACAAGCGTGAGCCACCAGCGCCCGGCTTCCAGGAGACTCTTTATCTCCAATTAACTACCAAAAAGCCAGAAGAGGAGCTGTGGCTCAAGTGGTAGAGTGTAGTCTTGAACACAAAAGCTCAAGGACAGTGCTCAGGCCCTGTGTGCGCATGCACGCGCATGCGCGCGCGCACACACACACACACACACACACACACACACTGGGGTGTGACAACACTTCTCTCAGATGGCTGCCTGAGACTTCATGGGGATGAACCCACTGCAGAGTCCAGAGTGGTGGCTGGCCCAGGTTGCATTTGGACAGTGTTGTCTGATTGGCTGCCCTGGGCCTCTGGCAGGCCATCAGTCCCGCCTTGTGTTCTGCACCATCGACAATGAGATCTACCCTGACCACATGTGCCAGCGCCAGCCTCGCCCGGCTGACCGCCGCCCCTGCCACCTTCACCCGTGCCCGCAGACCAAGCGGTGAGGCCTTGCCAGTCCCTTCCTCTTCTGGTGGGTGGAAGGGGAAAAAAGTCTATGCGGTTTCAGGCATAGGCACCAAAGAGGTCCAGGAGCCCAACCCTCCCCCAGCCATGGCTGCCAGAGGTGGCCATTGTCACCAAGGGGGCCAATACAAGGGCCTGAGGTCCAGGGCTAGGCCCACACAGTGCTCAGAATGCCCAGGCTGGTGGCAGGAGGGTTGGGGACAGGATCAGAAGTCCCTGACTAAGCCAGCAAGGGGTCTGGCCAAAGGGCCTGTGCCTTGGCATTTGGGATGCCTTTGTCTGTGCATAAAGAGTGTCCTACCTGCACCGGCCAGGAGTGTGGTGCTGTGCTGGGGCCCAGCACGCATATGACAACAGGTCATCTGTAGGCAGCGGTCCCCAGCGGCTGGTGCACGCATATGACAACAGGTCATCTGTAGGCAGCGGTCCCCAGCGGCTGGTGCACGCATATGACAACAGGTCATCTGTAGGCAGCGGTCCCCAGCGGCTGGTGCACGCATATGACAACAGGTCATCTGTAGGCAGCGGTCCCCAGCGGCTGGTGCACGCATATGACAACAGGTCATCTGTAGGCAGCGGTCCCCAGCGGCTGGTGCACGCATATGACAACAGGTCATCTGTAGGCAGCGGTCCCCAGCGGCTGGTGCTGCGCCTCCTGCTCGGTTGCGCGGGGGTCTGGCTTTGCATGGTGCGCTGGGGCCGCCCTGTCCTTTGCTCCTTGTACCCTGGTGACGAGCAGGGCCACTCCACCCATACAGAGTACAGCCCTCCTGAAGTGCCACATCCAAGGTGGGAGCTGGAGGGGAAAGGGCCTGGCTGGGGTGATGGGACGTGGTGAGAAGGGAAAAAAAGGGGACCTTGGGGTTAGCATAGGAGCACGGACTGCCACGGTTGGGCTTGGAGCTGTTAGACCCTGCAGACAGCGGGCGAGTGGTCGCCAGGGATGCCTGGAGTACCTGCGGCCTTTGTGTAGAGCTCCTCAGCTCCGTCTGTGCAGGCCTGGGGTTCAGAGGGTGAGCAGGCTGGGGCTGGAGGGCGGGGGCCTTTTGTCTGCTCCTCACTGGATTCCTGCTCTTTGCCAGATGGAAGGCAGGGCCCTGGGCTCCTTGCTCAGCCTCCTGTGGGGGTGGCTCCCAGGCCCGCTCTGTCTACTGCGTCTCCTTGGATGGGGCCGGCGGCCAGGAGGCCGTGGACGAGGCCCACTGCGCAGGCCTGCCCGGGAAGCCGCCCTCCACCCAGGCTTGCAACCTGCAGCGCTGTGCCGCCTGGAGAGCGGAGCCCTGGGGCGAGGTGAGGCTTGGGGCAGGAGCCCCCACCCAGGCTGGGCCGCAAATCAGGAATGGGGCTGGGGCCTGCGCAGCAGCAGACCAAGCAGGCAAGCTGTCTTGGAAGCTGTGGCCAAGGCTGGAACTAGACCGGTTCTGAACCAGGTTTTTCCCGGAGCTGGGTGACAAGGCTTTCCCTTGGTCCGGAGAAGCAGCGAGAGGTAGTTTTGGGGGTGAGGGAAGAGCTGATATGTCTAAGGCTGAAGATTGCTCCCCATACCTACAAATAAAGGGATGTAGAAAGTGCCCTACACTCTGGCATCAGCCACCATGATGAAGCTGTGTGACTTCCCCAAAGTGGCTCAGCCTCTCTGGGCCCAGGAGTGAGAGAGAGTAGGGTATGGTCTGCATGTGCCATGTGTCAGGCTGGGGGGCTGTCCCGCCTTGCATGGTTCCTCTGGCTGGGACGAGCTCAGGCTGACAGCCGGTTCTTGCAGTGCTCTGTCACCTGTGGTGCTGGTGTCCGGAGGAGGAGCGTCTCTTGCAGGAGTGCCCAGGGATCTGTGCTCCAGGCCTCCGCCTGCTCCCTGGAGAGCCGGCCGCCCCTCAGTGAGCCTTGCGTGCTGGGGGCCTGTCCCCTCCATGACCAGGCCTGGCACGTGGGCCCCTGGAGTCCAGTGAGTGCTCAACCCCTCGGGTGGGTCTGATGCGCCTTCCCGTCCGTCCGTCCGTCCGCCCCCCCCCACTTCCGCCCCCCCCCCAGCCTCAGGGCTCTCTCTTCTCACCCTTGGGCCCCAGTGCTCCAGGAGCTGCGGCTCAGGCACTCGGAGGCGACAGGTGGTCTGTGCCCTGGGGCCGCCCAGCCACTGCGGGAGCCTGCAGCAGCCCAAGCCCGCGGAGGTGGAGTCCTGCAGCAGCCGTCCGTGCCGCCGTGCTCAGGGTGAGGCCGGGGGAGGCTCTACTTTTCCCTCCCACTCTGGCCAGTGCACTTCCTGCCCGGGGCCTTTGCCTGGGCCATCCGGCCCCGCGGTTGCTTTCCCCCTGCATCAGAAGCACCGCTCCCTGCAGAGTGTCATTGTTTCCAGCCTGGGCTAGCCAGCTTCCTAGTGCTGCTGTGGTTGTACACAGCTTCTCAGGACTATTAGGTATGAGCTGCTGGAGGGCCAGGCCCATGACCCCCGTAGTCTGGGAATTGTACTCAAGGGGTTTGTGATCACTAGGCAGGCGCTCTGCCATTTGACCCATGCCTCCAGCTGTGTATTTCACTTTAATTGTTGTTTCACACAAGAGCTTATGTTTCTGCCTGGGCTAGCTTTGGGCTAACAGTCTCCTACCTGTTCCTCTTGCATAGCTGGGATTAGAGGCAAGCGCAAGTACTCCTGGCTGTTCTGTTGGGATAGGGGGAATCTATTTACGTATTTATTTTTGGCCTTGAGCCATGGTCCTTTCTAAACCACCTCCAGAGTAGATGCGATTACAGGTGTGTGCCACTAGTCCTGGTCCCTTCAGCCTCACGATGCCCCCCCATCCCTGCCTCAGAAGTAGGCACTCAGCAATGATTTGTTGAAGGAGTCACTGGGTGCTGAGGGAAGGAAGTACTCCAGAAAAGACTGTCTTTCCTGCTGTCCCGGCCTCCTCTTCCTGCTTCATCTCCAGGGCTCTGGGAAAGGAAGTCTCTGGGCAGGAGGAGGAAGGAGCAGAGGCTGCTGGCCTTTGCTTGGGGTGTAGTCAGGACACTGAGGAAGGGTGGGGTTATTGCTGAGGAAGAGTGAGGAGGTGGGAGACTCGTAGCCCCGTAGCCCGGCGTGTCCGGCTCTGAGGTACAGCGCTGGTCTCTGAGCTGTGACTCTCGAGGTGGGGAACAGTTGAGAGGGGCAGGTCACTGTGACGGTGCTTCTGACAGCCATCTTAGCGGCCGCGCAGCTGTGTGGCCTAGGGCAGCATCTCTTCCTCTCCACTTGCCCATCTGTATATAGGACTGGATAAGTAAGGTTGCCCGGGCTTGTGGTGAGTCTCATGCCCGCCACAGTAGGGAGGCTCAGGGCTGGCGCTCTACCGCTTGAACCACAGCTCCACCTCAGTTTTTTTTTGGGTCCAGTCATGGGGCCTGAACTCTGGACCTGGGTACTGTCCCTCAGCTCTTCAGCTCAAGGCTAGCGCTCTACCACTTGAGCCACAGCACCACTTCTGGCTTTTTTTCTTTTTGCTTATGTGGTGCTGAGGAATCGAACCCAGGGCCTCAGGCATGCAAGGCAAGCGCTCTACCACTGAGCCACCTTCCCAGCCCCTCCACCTCAGTTTTTTGTTTTTGTTTGCTGTTTAACTGGAGATAAATTTTCTGCTCAGGGTGGCTTTGAACCATGATCCTCAGATCTCAGGCATGCACCATCAAAGGCTTGCTAATATTTTGTTGTTTATGCTGTGTGTGTGTGTGTGTGTGTGTGTGTGTGTGTGGTGACCCTGGGACTTGAACTCCAGTCTCATGCTTGCTAGGCAGGGAATCTAGGGGATCTACCACTTGTGCCACACCCTCAGCCGTTTTTGCTTTAGTTATTTTTCAGGTAGGATTTCCCTTTTTGCCTAAAGCCAGCCTCAGGTCTGAGGGATTCCTGCAGATGCCTACCTCGAAGCTGGTACACACTACTGTGTCTAGCTATTTGTTGAGATAGGGATCTCATTAGCTTTTCGGGTGGGTCATGGGGCTTGAACTCTAGGCCTGGGTGCTGTCCCTGCGCTCTTCAGCTCAAGGCAAGTGTTCTACCACTTGAGCCATAGTACCACTTCTGGTTTTCTGGAGGTTTGTTGGAGATAAGAGTTTCACGGCCTTTCTTGCCCAGATTGGCCTTGAACTGGGATTCTCAGATCTCAGCCTCCTGAGTAGCTAGGATTACAGGCCTCAGCCACCAGCGCCCGGCCTCATTAACGTTTTGCCTAACTTGGCCTTAAGCCATGATTCCCCCTCCACTCTCGGTCTCCTAGGGAGCGGGGCTGACAGCGATGAGACACCATGCTGGCCAGCCTTGTGCTTCCACAGCGCATACGCCGTGGCTGAGCCACACCCAGCCCCTATTTAGTCCAAATGGAAGGTGAAGTCTGTTATCATTTTTGGTTTAGGTGACGGGGTGCTAATTTTGTCTCTGCTCCTTCCTTCTCTCTGGCTCCGCCCTCTGCACCTGTCGCCCTGGTTCCTGCAGAGGTCCCCAGTGGTCAGAACTCACATTCCCGCCCCAGGGACCCCCGGATGCCTTTGGGCCCACGGGTGGCCCCTTCCTCAGGTAGGAAGCAGAGCTGTGTGAGTGGGGGAAGGGCCTCCATCTGGGTACTGGCGGCCCAGGGTCTATGGAACCAGAGCACAGTGGGCCCGGTGTGGACACTGGGCGTGCAGTGGGAGGCTTGGGGTGGGCTTATCATCGTGCTTTTTCCTTTCTAGACCCTAGAGACCAACAGTGGGCGGATCAGGAACGACCCTGGGCCCGGAGTAACCCCAGGGGAGAGCAGAGGCCCCACGGGTCACCTCCAGGCCCAGCCCGCTCTCCACATCAGCTGCCCCCAAGGCCCAGCTCCGGACCTGGAGACTGCAGGCACAGCCCCCATGGGTGCTGCCCCGATGGACGGTCCCTGTCTCTCGGGCCGCAGTGGCAAGGCTGCCCTGGGGCCGGGGGCTCCTGTCAGCAGAGCAGGTGCGTTGGGACAGTCCAGCAGGGGAGGGAAGGAAGGTGGGCTGGGCCGGGGTGGGCCCTGGGTCTGCCTCTCTGCCTGGGGGAGGGGCTGGGCAGGTTTGCAGAGCTCAGGATCAGGACTCCAGAGGTTTATCTCTGAGCTCCCCTGATGTGTGGTCTTGGGGGCGTGGCTGTCAAAGGTAGTCCCCAGAAGTCAGTCTGTGGAGAACTCGCCTGAGTCTCAGAGCAGGCACGAAGCGCAGGTCCTGTGCTCAGATCCCAGCTCTCTGGGAGCCCAGAGGCAAGCTGGACAAAGATGACTAGTTCTTCCAACTCTCTGAATAGGGCTGGGAAGGTGGCTCCGTGGTAAGAATGCTTGCCAGGGCTGGGAAGGTGGCTCCGTGGTAAGAATGCTTGCCTTGCATTCATGAGGCCCTGGGTTCAATTCCTCAGCACCACATAAGTAGAATAAGCTGGAAGTGGTGCTGTGGCTCAAGTGGTAGAGTGTTTGCTTGAGCTGAAGAGCTGAGGGACAGCGCCCAGGCCCAGAGTTCAAGCCCCATGACCAGAAAAAAAAAATCTCTGAATACCGTCTGTCCCAGACTTGCAGAGAGAGTCTGAGTGATGGCCCCTGGCCAGTGCCCTCCTCCCCACCCCCGTAGCTCTCCCAAGGCCTGTTTGGACAGGCTGCCCTCAGGAACTGCCCTGGAGGATTCAGTGGCTACCCAGCTGTGTGCTGAGTGACCTCTGACCATGGTTTCCTCTTCTGGGATGGCCACTGGGTGGGGCTGTGAGAATGCATGAAAACAACAGGCCACGGATGCCTGGAGGTGCTGTGACCTTCCCCTCCCTCTCACCGCCCATTTTAACACCTGCTTGGCAGAAGTAAGATAAACGGTAGAACCCTCTCTTCTGGCCTATCTCCTATCTGCTGAACTGGCTCAGATGAATCCCCCCTTGTTGATTGAGGGGTTCTATGTGTGACTCAGATACGTCACAATTGCTGCTGGGCACTGGTGGCTCATGCCTGTAATCCTAGCTACTCAGGAGGCTGAGATCTGAGGATTGTGGTTCAAAGCCAGCCTGGGCAGGAAAAAGTTCATGAGATTTTGTTTTGTTTTTTGGTCGGTCCTGGGGCTTGAACTCTGCCTGAGCGCTGTCCCTCAGCTCTTCAGCTCAAGGCGAGCACTCTACCACTTGAGCTACAGAGCCACTTCTGGTTTTCTGACGATTTATTGGAGATAAAGAGTTTCACGGACTTTCCTGCTCAGGCTGGCTTTGAACAGCGATTCTCAGATCTTAGCCTCCTGAGTAGCTAGGATTACAGGCGTGAGCCACCAGTGCCCAGCTCTGTGAGACTCCTCTCCAATTGACCACCAGAACACCAAAAGTGGCATTGTGGCTCAAGTGGTAGAGCGCTAGCCTTGAGCTGAAGAGCTGAGGGACAGCGACCAGGCCCAGAGTTCAAGCCCCACAACAAAAACAAGAACAAAACAAATAAAAAACAGTTGCTGTTGCCCCCACTGAAGTAGCTGGGTGGCAGTGGAGGAGGGGACAGACTGGGGCAGGTGCGGGATGCTGACCAGCACCTGCTCAGCGCTCCAGGCCGGCAGTGTCGAGTCCGGGTTTGCCATGCTGGATACAGGCACTGGGAGTGAGCAAAAGGGCAGGAGCTGGGGCTGGCAGTGAGGCAAGGCTGCATGCTATCTGTCTAGGTATGGCTGCTGTCCTGATGGGGTATCTGCGGCCGAGGGACCCCAGCAAGCTGGCTGTGGCAGGTCTTACAGCAGGGACAATCCTGGCAGCCGGCCGGGCACCCAAGCAGGAGGCTTCATGGTAAGGATGTGGCCAACAGTGAGTGGGGCCGGTGTCCCATCCCTGCTCAGTGTCACATGATCATTGTAGCTTGGCCTTGGTGAGGGAGGGCAGTGTCTACCTGTGGCCTGGGCCACTCTGTAGGGCACAGGGTACAGAGAAGGTCTTTATCCCACACTCTTTTGGTCTCTAATCTCCTCCTAGGCTGGGGTTGCGCACTTCAGGCCCACCGTTCCGTCCCTTCCCTCTGCTTGCTGCTTTCCTCCAGGCAGCCTTGGGTCTCCACGGAGACAGACTTATTGACAGACTTATTCCTAACTCCTCAATTCTGCACTTCCTCTCCAGCCCCACAAAGCCCACCGGCCCCAGGCAGAGCAGAGCGAGCCCAAGGAGTGCCGGGGTTCCCAGTTTGGCTGCTGCTATGACGACGTGACCTCCGCAGCCGGCCCGTTTGGAGAAGGCTGTGTGGACCAGCCCAATTTCCGTGAGTGGCCAGGTCCCACTGGGGCCCCAGCTACCGCTCAGAGCCAGAGGCCTGTCTACCAGCCTTGACCCCCTTCTAAGACACTTGACTATCTAGATGTCAGGCTAGGGAATGGTGGTAGATGTTTCTTGTGTCCAAGTTGGCACTTGCGGTGTTTTGGAGGTTGTGGGGGGTCAGGGATGGTTATAAGAAGGGAGACCCTGAGGAAAGGAGGCCTGGCTTGTACCCAGGAGCCGGGCTGTGCCTGGGACGATGTGGGTGAGGCAGAGGCTGCTGAGCGGCGAGGGAGGCTGGTCTGGAGCCCCTGAGGCAGGAGCAAGCCGCCAGGGATCAGTTCTGGGGTGTTCCAAGTCGCAGGCTGGTGGTCAGGGCTGTGTGGAGGCTGGGCACCTGGACAGGCAGCCGTGGTCTCATCTGAGTGTGGACCGATGGGGTAAGCCGTGCTGACAGGGAGGGCTGTTAGAAGGCAGGCTGCAAGTGGGGGTCCAGGCCCAAGGAGAGCGAGGCATAGCCAGGTAAGCTTTGGCTGGGAGTGGGGTGGGTGGGGGGCTCCCAGGGAGCCGGCCCTGTCCTTCTGAAGGCTCAGTTCTGTGGATGGAGGCATCTGGACAAGTCAGGGCAGTGAGCACATCCTGGATCCCACCTGGGCTTTCCAGGGAGGGCAGGAATGCAGCTGTGCCCTAAAACAGAGTGGGAAACAGGTGGCCTGTGTGTGTGGGGCTCAGGGGCTTGGGGTGAGCTTTATCACTAGCCACCTAGCTGACATGGCCCTTCCTGCCTCCAGCCTACCCTGTACGGTGTCTGCTGCCCAGTGCCCTGGGCTCCTGTACGGACTGGACCGCCCGCTGGTACTTCGTCCCAGCTGTGGGTCGGTGCAACCGCTTCTGGTTCGGCGGTTGTCATGGTAACGCCAATAACTTCGCCTCGGAGCAGGAGTGTATGAGCAGCTGTCAGGCCCAGCATGGGCCCCATCACCACCAGCCTGGGGCCTCTGGCCAGAGCGCTCATCTGGATGGGGGCGGCAGCCGTCCCAGAGGCCAGCAGGAGACCAGCTGGCCCCAACATGGGGCCACCGTTCCAAGACTTCTCCCATCTTCCGGTGGGCCTTGGCAGGAAGAACGAGAGCGTGGGCCGGGGGAAGCGCCTCGCACCCCCTTTGGAGAACAGCCCTGGAGCCAGGAGCTTGGGCCTAGGGCCCCTGGGTTGGGCAGAGACGTTGGACAGCCGGTGCCACCTTCCCACAGCAACTCCAGGTGAGGCTGGTGGGGGGACAGGGTGCCCAAGCCAGAGTTGAACCTGTCAGAGCTAAACCCCTGAACTCAACGCCCCTCCCTGTCCTAACTTCTGGTCCCAGGCAGCCCTGCGGGGGCCTTGCTGCCTGTTAGGAGTGAGCTGGGGTGTCTCCTAGCCATGCCTGTAGAAGTGGGTGTCTCGACTCCCTGCCAGCTCGGCTGGGTAGTCCTGAGCCTGTCTTCCCTGTGGCAAGTCACTTGGATTTTTCAGATGTTAAATGGTGATATTGTTTCCTGCTCTGCTGGGTTCTTTTTATTTTTATTTTTTGACAGTCCTGGGGCTTGAACCCTGGCCCTGGGCTCTGTCCCTCAGCCCTTCAGCTCAAAGCAAGCACTCTACCACTTCCGGTTTTCTGAATGGTTTATTGGATTTAAGAGTCTCACAGACTTTCCTGCCTGGGCTGGCTTTGAACCGTGATCCTCAGATCTCAGCCTCCTTAGTAGTTAGGATTACAGGCGTGAGCCACCGGCGCCCGGCATTCTGTTGGGTTCTGTTTCTTCTGTTTATGACATTATTCTTCTATTCATTCTACCCTTGGGACTGAATTTTATGAATAAGCATTTTGAGGAAACAACAGACATACGTGCCAGGCTTAGTTCAGCCCTCTGCTGCCAGCGGGTATGGCATGCATAGTTCTCCTACCACCCCCTGCCCTGCCTGGGCTTGGTCCTGTATCAACCCAGGCTTCTGGAGCTTGGTCTCTCGTGGGACTCTCAGGTCCCACCGGGGCCTGTGCCAGGCCACCTGTGGTGGTGGTGGTAGTCTCTGGTCCTAGCCCTCATACCAGCAGGCAGAGCCTCGCCTCTCACCCCTCCAGGATCAGCAAGGGTGGCTCGGAGCCCTCGCTGGTGCACGCAGCGCTGGGGCAGTTGGTGCACATCTTCTGTCCTGACGACGCCTTCGTGGACCGCCAGGCTGGGTGGCAGAAAGATGGCCGGCCCGTCTCCTCTGACAGGTGTGTGTGGCAGAGATCATCGCATCTCTAGTGTGCGGGACGTCCTCCACGGCTGAGACCCCTGCGGCTGCCCTGCGCGGGCGTGGGCCTGAGGAAGCCCAGCTCCCACCTCCCTTTCCTTCTGTTCAGGCACCAGCTGCAGTCCGATGGCTCCCTGGTCATCAGCCCTCTGCGGGCCGAGGACGCTGGCACCTACAGCTGCGGCAGCCTCAGGCCGGGCCATGACCCTCAGAAGATCCAGCTTCGGGTCACAGGTGTACTCCCACCCCTGGCTCGCAGGCCCCAGAGTGGGAGGACGGGGCGTGAGGAGCAAGACAGGGGGCTTCCCCCAGTCACCCCCACACGCAGGGGGTGAGGGCAGCTAGAGCGCTTCTGCGGGCCACTTTTGGAGGCAGGAGGCTGCCTCATCTCTGGCTCCTCCCAGTTCCTTCTTCCCACAACTCACACCTTGCTTCTCCCGACCTCCCCGCAGGGGGTGACAGGGCGGTGCCAGCTGAACCCGAGCCGAGGTACTTCCCCCATCTCAAGGACCCTGTCCAGGGCCATAGACCTCCAGATCCCAGTCTAGGGGCAGATGCTGGGGGCCGGGGCGCCATCCCCGCCCAGTCCCGGCCCGCAACCAGGTAACAACTCAGCCAGGTCATCCTGTTCTTAGTCTCTCGTTCCCAAGTGCCAGGGTCCTGGGGCCCCATGAAAGGAGGGAAAGGTATGTGCCATTGCCGGGCCTTGCTGGGCCCGCAGGAACCCTGCCGTATGAGCTGGGCCTCAGGGAGGAAGGGAAATCCCGGCCCTTGAGCCACTCAGCTGAAGGGACCATGGGTGTGGGGCTCAGGTTGCTTCTTGAAGGAGAAGAGGGTTTGGAGTTGGCCCTTAGGAATGGTTGAGTTTATGGAGAGGTGTGTAGGGGATAAGGGAGAGCCATTGGAAGGACAGGAGAGTGTACAAGGTGAGGGACAGCACGGGAGCTTTGAGCTACTTTACCCCATGTAGTTTTAGGGATAGTGCCCCACACAGACTCAAGGAGTGCAGTTCCAAGCTGAAACTGGCTGGAGAGGGAGAGGACTTGTGCACAGGTGTCCGTGGAAGTGGGGGAGCCCCTCACAGCTCTGGGTGGCTTGTTTTGTAGACTGCGTCTAGACAGGACCCAGCCAGGGGTGGTGGACGCCAGTCCAGGCCAGCGGATCGTGCTGACCTGTCGCGCTGAAGGCTTCCCGCCTCCAACCATCGAGTGGCAGAGGGATGGACAGCCGGTCTCCTCCCCCAGGTTCATTCAGCTCTTCCCCTCCCCCTCCCCACGGCCCCTCCGGGCACACTGCATCCTGAAGAGGCTTGAGCGGGATGCCAGGGCTCTCAGGAGATGGAACTGGGAACACTGGACCCCCGGGCAGCCAACAATGGAATCTCTGGGTTTTTCCAGAATGGGTCAGGTAGACAGAAATGAGAGACCAACAAAGTGAGGCTGATGGGAGGAGATGGCATGGCCGTAGTTATGGTTGGATTCTGATGGCTGACATTTATCGGCCACCCCTGAGAGTGAGGCTTGTTTTCTTGTGTAATCTTCAGGAGCCACACGTAGGCTCATGCTGTTCCTGGTTTACATGTAAAAGCTTGACTTTACGCAGCTCCTAAGTCATAGGTACAACCATGTGTGGAGCCTGCTTAAGTGATAGCAAAGACTAGAAACCTAAAGTGGAATTTTCTTGTATTAGAAAACTTGATTTCTGCCGGGCGCCAGTGGCTCATGCCTATCAGCCTAGCTACTCAGGAGGCTGAGATCTGAGGATCATGGTTTAAAGCCAGCCCGGGCAGGAAAGTCTATGAGATTCTTACCTCCAATTAAAAAAAAAACAGAAGTAGAGCTGTGACACAAGAGGTACAGCACTAGCCTTGAACTGAAGAGCTCAGGGACAACACCCAGGCCCAGAGTTCAAGCCTCACAACTGACAAAACAAACAAAAAATTTCTTAGGCTTAAAAGCCAAATGTTAGGTGGGCATTGGAAGGTCATGCCTGTAATTCTAGCTACTCTAGAGGCTGAGATCCAAAAGATTGCAATTCAAGGCCAGTCCTGGCAGAAAAAAGTCCAAAATAACCATCAAAAATCCAGGCTAGAGGCATGGCTCAAGTGATCCAGGTACTAGCTAAGCAAGCATGGTGAGCAAATGGCAAAAAAAGCAGTAAATAAAAGTGCTTGCAGAAGAAAGGAGTGAGGGTCTGAGGCCTAGGAGCTCGTTAGCTATTCCTCCCTGAACAGTGCCACTGCTGTGCGTCTCATTTCTGCTTTACTGTCTCTCTGGCCCCAGGCCAGCTCCCTTGGGACTGGAACCAACTGACTGTGTTTGGTTCCTAGACACCAGCTGCAGCCCGATGGCTCTCTGGTCATCAGCCAAGTGGCAGTGGAAGATGGCGACTTCTATGCCTGCATTGCTTTCAATGGACAGGACAGGGACCAGCGCTGGGTCCAGCTCAGAGTTCGGGGTAAGGTGACAATGTCCTTTGAGATCAAGTGGCACAGGAGGGCAAGGTCTGTGTAGTGTAGAGGCTGACTGTGTTGCCCTCTTGTGCCCAGAGGAGTTGACAATCACAGGGCTGCCTCCTACGGTGACAGTGAGCAAGGGTGACACGGCCAGGCTGCAGTGCGTGGTGGCAGGAGACAGCGTGAACATTCGATGGTCCAGGTACAGTGCTCATGTGGGAAGCCCCTTCCCTGTCCACACAAGCTGGGGTGCATGTGTGTCACTGTCACCACTAACTCCTCTGAGGCCCGGTGCCAGTGGTGGGGGCTACAGAAGCCTCATTGGATGGCTTGCTTTTCCATTGGTTGGACCACATTGGGTTTCTTTCTTTCTTTAGTTTAGGCTGGCCTTGAACTCATGCTTCTGCCTCAAGCCTTCCAATTGCTAGGATTATAGGCAAACCTATAGTATGCTTTGTTTTGTCTTTTTTTTACACTTAAAAAAAAGTGTGTGTGTGTGTGTGTGTGTCCCTCAACTTTTTGCTTAAGATTAGTGCTCTACCATTTGAGCCACAGTTCCACCTCTGGCTTTTTGGTAATTAATTGGAGATGAATCTCATAGACTAGCCCAGGCTGGAAACTGTGATCCTCAGATCTCAGCCTCCTGAGTAGCTAAGATTATAGGCGTGAGCTACCAGTGGCATTAGAGTTTCTTAACATTAGCATTACTTATGCTTTGGACTATGAAATTTGGTTGTTTTGGTCCTATGTATGTGGGACCAATACCCACTGAATTCCAGTAACAGTTCCCTCTAGGTCATGGAATAGAAAATCTCTCCAAACACGGCCAGATCTCCCCTGCACCAACCACAGGTCTACACAGCATGGGGGACTTCAGTGACCTTTTATTTCACATCAGTTGGTTTCTTGTTCATTCTTCAATCAGATTTTTTTTTTTGGCCTCCTTTCTGGAGTATGTGGGATCTAGGTTAGGTTCTGAGAGTTCTGAGACTCATTTCATTTGGGCCTCACGATGCTCCAGGCAGGAGATAGCCCTGTGTCTCAAGACCTCCAGGTGAGGCTTGCCCTCCCCCCCCCCCCCCCCCCCCCCGCCTTCCCGGTCTCTGCTCAGAGGAAGGCAGGTTGCTTGGAGCCTGGGAGAGTGGAGGAAGGGAAGGCCAGGGCTGAGCTGTAATGACTGGGGAGGGGTAATGACGGTCCCAGCAAGTGACAAGTGGCCATTTTGGACAGGATGCTGGGATGGGAACAGCTGTCCATGGGTAGGAGAGGAAGCTGGGCCACTGATGTCAGCTGCCCCTGCTGTGACCTTGGTGCCAGGGCCTTCAGTACTCAATTCATACCTCACAGAATGGCTGCCACTTTTTCTCTACACTGTCCTGCAAGGCTACCTACCCCATTTGTTCTTCTAGCAGGGGACACAGCTCAGTGCTTACCTGACCTGTAGTGCGCTGCTGACCATGAAGTGCTCCCTTCCTTTGGTTCCAGGAAGCCCCAGTCAGGGGCTGGGCTTCAAGCTCTGATTTTGGTAGTATCACCCTACGGCCTCACCTTGGGGGCTGATAGTGCAGCTGGGCCTCAAATCTGAGCCTTGTGGTAGGTACCTCATAGGCCCCTCTGAAATCCAAGTAGAATATAGCCAACACCCACTCCCCAATCTCAGCTAAGTCTCCCAATTGGAGACCAGCACCATCACCCAATAACTCCCACTTGATTGCTTCCTCTCCTCCACCCCCCACATCTCACCTTTACCCATATCCCTTTATTCTATCCTTTGCACCAGGCAGCAGACACACTTCCTCTAGGGCCCCTCATTAGGTCCCTGCCTAGTTCAGATCCCTCCACCAGCCCCAGAAGCCAGTTCAAACTCCTGGCCAGAGCCCAAGATCCTGCTGCCCGGCTCCTGCTTCCCATGGGCACTTCTTGCTGTGGCTGTGACCTTCTGGAGTCCTTGTGGTCCTCCTCTCTGTTGGCCGCTGTTGCCGCTGCCCCTCTCGAGAGTGGCTCCAGACAGCAGCACCCTCCAGTGCTCTGGAGGCAGGGGTGGGTAGTGTGTGTGTTCTTTATCCAGCTCCTTGGCCAAGGAAAAGCCAGAGTGGGATTCCTTTGTGGTTAAGAGGCCTATTTACTGGACCTTAGACCAGAGTGTGTGGTTTGGCCATGGTTTCTCCTAAGTTTTGGCCCTTTCATCTTCTATGAGGCAGGAAAGCATCAGGGGAGCAAGGGGCTGTTCTAGAATGGTCCTTGATAACCTCCCACTATCCTCCCAGCCTCCTAGGGTCATAAGACGAGTGGCCCTGGAAGGCTCTCTCGGCATTCTCTCCCCCTCCAGGAACGGGCTGCCAGTGCAGGCTGATGGCCACCGGGTACGCCAGTCCCCAGATGGCACCCTGCTGATCCACAACCTGCAGGCCAGGGATGAGGGCGCCTACACATGCAGCGCCTACAGAGGGGGTCAGACGGCCAGCCGCAGCACGGAGGTGAAGCTGGCGTCGCCAGGTACAGGGGCACGTGTCCCTAAGCCTCAGGCCCAACAGTCCAAGGGACTCCGGTTCAGCACTTGGCTCACTCTGATGCTAACTTCTGGTCGACACTTGGGGCAAAGGGTTTTCTCCACCTGAACCTCACTTCTCCCCCTTTACACTCGAGCTACCCTGCCATCCAAGGACGGGGTGCAGATAATGGTAATGGTGCTCGTGCTCTGCAAGGTAGATGCTAGGCATTGTCATGGACTTGCCCATCTTACCTGCGAAACCACAACTGGCGAGGCTTTCATTATCATGCTCAATCAGACAGACCTGTCAGACAGACAGAAGTCTGTCCATTCTAACCCAGGTGGAAAAAAGTCCTATGGCAATGGGACTGTAGCTCATGTGAGCCCTGCTTCCATCTCCCAGTACCACAAAAAATAATACAAACAGACTTTATTCTAAAAAAACAAAGTACTGAACTTATTATTTTTGGTCTGGTCATGGGCCTGAACTCTGGGCCTGGGCGCTGTCCCTCAGCTCTTCAGCTCAAGGCTAGCGCTCTACCACTTGAGCCACAGCGCCACTTCCAGCTTTTTTTTTTTTTGCTTATGTGGTGCTGAAGACTCGAACCCAGGGCCTCATGCTCTACCACTGAGCCACCTTCCCAGCCCAAAGTACTGAACTTATAATGACAATGTGCCTTTTATTTTTCTTGCTGGTCTTGGGGCTTGAACTCAGGGCCAGGGCACTGTCCGTGAGGCTCTCTCTGCTCAAGGTAAGCATTCTAACCACTTGAGTCACAGCACCACTTCTGGCCTTTTCTGTTTATGTGGTACCGAAGGATCAAACCCTGGACTTCATGCATGCTAAGCCACTAGGCCACATTCTCAGCCCCACAACTGCCTTTTTGATCTTTCGAGCATACAGCCCTGGGGCTGGGAAGGTGGTTCAGTGGTAGAGTGCTTGTCTTGCATGCATGAGGCCCTTGGTTCGATTCCTCAGCGCCACATAAGCAGAAAAAGCCGGAAGTGGGGTTGAGGCTCAAGTAGTAGAGTGCTAGTCTACAGTTGAAGAGCTGAGGGACAGCACCCAGGCCTGGAGTTCAGGCCACACGACCGACAAAAAAAAAAAAAAGAGCATACAGCCCAAATCTTAGAAGGCAGGGGCTATAATTACCCTTTCATCAATGAGACTTCCAGAATGCTTATGCCCTGTCTCTACCTGCCATACAGCAGATCAGTGGCCCAGGAGACCAGAACCCAAATCTTTCAACTGCTCGGAATCTTTTTTTGGGGGGGGGTACCATGCTGGAGCCTAGAGCTTCCAATCCTCAGAAGTTTTACTGACACTGTCACTTGGCTCACACCTGCATATATATACATATTTGTGAAAATATGCATTTTTTATTTTTTTGGGTCCAGTCATGGGGCCTGAACTCTGGGCCTGGGCGCTGTCCCTCAGCTCTTCAGCTCAAGGCTAGCGCTCTACCACTTGAGCCACAGCACCACTTCCGGCTTTTTTCTTTTTGCTTATGTGGTGCTGAGGAATCGAACCCAGGGCCTTGAGCATGCAAGGCAAGTGCTCTACCACTGAGCTACTTTCCCAGCCCGAATATATGCATTTATATATTCATATATGCATATATCCATATACATATATGAACATATCCATAGTCACATTTTATATACTCAATTATAAACCTGTATATAAACATGACTATATATCTTATATATTCATATATATGCATATATACACATATCAGTAATGTGGTATTTTAGCCTTATATTCTTTTGTTCTTTTTGTGTATATGCCAGTACTGGGGCTTGAACTCAGGGCCTCCTTCTCTTGCTTGGCTTTACCGATCAAGGCTGGGGTTCTATCACTTACACCACAGTTTCACTTCCAGCTTTTGGGTGGTTAAATGGAGCTAAGAGTCTCATGGATTTTCCTGCCTGGATTTTGAACCTTGATCTTCAGATCTCAGTCTTGGGTAACTAGGATTTACAGGAGTGGGCCACCAGCACCTGGCTCTTAGTGAGTTATTATAGTTCAGCAAATGAAAGTGTCATATTGTAGGATGGCACCACTATGGAAAAAATGCTGCAATGGAATGACACAATGCTGATACATTATCAGTTAGGGACTGAATAGCAGGGCAGTGCCCTGGGCTAAGCAGTTTGCAAAGACCTGCTCCAACCTTGGGGAAGGTGTGGGACTTGGATGTGCCACCGTTCTTTCTGTCTGGTCTGCCTCGCTACTCAAGACAGAGCTGAAGTATTGGTAATTTGTGTTTATGATTAGCTATAGATATGTCTAGCAGGGAAAATAAATTAGAATCACGGGGCTGGGAAGGTGGCTCAGTGGTAGAGTGCTTGCCTTGCATGCCTGAGGCCCTGGGTTTGATTCCTCAGCACCACATAAGCAAAAAGAAAAAAGCCGGAAGTGGCGCTGTGGCTCAAGTGGTAGAGTGCTAGCCTTGAGCTGAAGAGCTGAGGGACAGCGCCCAGGCCCAGAGTTCAGGCCCCACAACCAGTCCCCCCCCCCCAAAAAAAAATTTAGAATCAGAAATTTGCTTGATAACAAGGCCTGGTGGAGCCTTGCTGATATATGGCCACCACAGTGAAACTGTCCAAAGAGACACACTCCTGCCTCTGCTACGCCTCTCTTCTGCCCTCTGTTGGATGAATGTTGTCAAGTTTAGATTCAGGCCCCAAAGGGCAGAAGACACAGCTCCTGCTGACTGAAGTTTTACTTAGGGCCCATCCTTCTCAAGACTTGAGATACGACAGAGTACAATCCAGCGGCTGAGGCTCTTTAGGGAGTTAACTTGAAGAGATATTTAATCAGTAAATTCTGGGTGTCTGGGAAGGGCTATGCACTGGATAGAGGACACAAATAAGCAGAAGGGAGGCCAGCAAACGGGTGGCAACTGTATCCACTCCTAGTTTACACATCTGGCAGCCTCATCTACATCTTTCTCTTTCTCCCTGTTGTCCTGCAGCACCAGCGGCCCAACCCAGGGACCTGGGCAGGGAGTGCGTCGACCAGCCAGAGTTGGCCAACTGTGACTTGATCCTGCAGGCCCAGCTCTGTGGCAATGAGTATTACTCCAGTTTTTGCTGTGCCAGCTGTTCCCGTCTCCAGCATGCTGAACCTGTCTGGCAGCAGGGATGAAGGCTAGATCTGGCTCTAGTTCTGAATAGTTCTCTAAGAGAAGATAGACTCAGCCCCCCTCCCCACTCTCACCAAATCTGTAACTGGCAAAGGAAGTCATCTTCTGGAGATGCCCTTCCAAAAACCCTCCCAGAGCTGAACTCAGCAGCCTCCCATGGCCTCCCAGGGTTTGCAGATGACATGGCCACAGACTGCTGCTGAGTGGTCATGAGGAGGAATCTGTTTAGATAGGATATACTTTCCTTTACCTCTTTGCATTTCTGTGTCTACTACAGGTTGAGGATCTCTTATCTGAAATGCTTGGGACCAGAAGTGTTTCAGATCTTAGAATATTTGTAGACCTTATCAGTTGAACATCTTTAAATCAAATATCTGAAGTGCTCTGAAACCTGAAACACCTAAGTGCCATGTTAGCATTCAAACATGTTTAGATTTTGGGGCATTTGGATTTCCAGTTAGGGATGTCATCCTGTACAGAGACCCATTCACTACATTTTAAAGCAAACCAGCTTTACAATCCAGAAAGAAGGGCTGGGAAGATGGCTCTGTGGTAGAGCGCTTGCTTGCATGCTTGAGGCCCTGGGTTCGATTCCTCAGCACCACATAAGCAAAAAGAAAAAAAAGCCGGAAGTGGCTCAAGTGGTAGAGTGCTAGCCTTGAGCTGAAGAGCTGAGGAACAGCGCCCAGGCCCAGAGTTCAGACCCCACGACCGGACCAAAAAAAAAAAAAAAAAAAAAAAAAAAAAATTCCAGAAAGAGCTGGATTTTAAAGCTGGGAAGTATGTAATGTTTTCAAAGTTCACACCTGCCTTATAAGGGAATGTTTTGGGGAAGTATTCTGTTTGAGAGCCGAATGTCATTTGGGGTCAAATGGTAGTCCGTTCTCTAGCCTCTAGTCTTTCTAGGTAGCTCAGCTTCAAAGCCTGCTGATATTATGAAAGCTATCAGCAAAGCAGGATGGCCTCAGAATAGGGATGGATCAGGGATGGAAACAGGAAAAGCTCCTTACTTCACAGCTAGCTTGTGTGATGAGCGTGTGTAAAACTGACTGACCTGCTCCATGCTGAGGCCACCAGGAGCCTCTCTTCCTAAGTAGGACTCTGTGAAGCAGTGTTTGCTGCCAAAAGGAAAAACAGACCATTGTTAAAAACAGAACTAGTAGGCTGAGGAAACAACGGGGAGGGGTAATGTAGTAACAGTAAAAGTGATTTCAGAAATAGCTTTGAGTTGAGGGAAATCATTCTTCAATTTTATACATTAATGCTGAAACAAGCTTAGTGTCAATGAGCTACCAGGTCCCTTTCTACAATCCTTTACATTGTTGTTCCTTTACCTAGGAACAATGGTTATTTGTGGACATAGAAAAGACAGCCATTACAGGGATCAAAACTCTTCAAGGTGACTTTTACTACCCACACATGGGCTGGAAGATAGAAAAATAATATCACGGGTGGGTATATTTCTCAGTCAGTCTCATTCAACAACGAAAACATGAACAGGTATCTTTTCTTCCAGTCCTGAGCCTGAAATCTGGGCCTGGGGGCTGTCCCTCAGTTCTTCAGCTCAGGGCTAGCTAGCACTCTACTACTTGAGCCACAGCACCACTTCCGGCTTTTTCTGTTTATGTGGTGCTGAGGAATCAAACCCAGGGCCTCATGCATTCAAGGCAAACACTCTACCACTGAACCACCTTCCCAGCCCCATATCTTTTCTTTCCACTTAAAAGAGAAACATCCTCATTCACCACAGCTGGTTTTGCTATAGAAATAGGGGGGAAAAGGGCAACTTTCTTGGGCTTCCCCATTTAATGAAATAAAAATTTGGCCTGATGGCATACATACTTCAGAAGGTGCATCTGAGATTACCTTGCCTCAAAAGCTAGCCCTTCTCAGAGCTACTCAGAGAGTGGGGGCTAAATTTAGAGGTGAGGCTCAAACTAGTAATTCTCAAACTTAAGTAATTCTCAAACCTACTTTATGTTGGGAGATTAAAACAAAACACAGTCACAAAAACATCCCCAAATCCCTTCTCAATCCTCACTAAAGTTTTGATATAATTGGTCTTATGTATAGGCTGGGCACTGGGGGACTGTGAATGCTAAGTTCATATTCTATCACTGAGCTACACTCCTGGCCCTGAGTTAGGATTTTTTTGTTGTTGTTGTTGGTCGTGGGGCTTGAACTCTGGGTCTAGGCGCTGTCCCTTGAGGCCACGGCACCACTTCCGGTTTTCTGGTGGTTAATTGGAGATGAGTCTCACGGGACTTTCTTGCTCGGGCTGGCTTTAAACTGTGATCCTTGGATCTCAGCCTCCTGAGTAGCTTTGATTATAGGCATGAGCCATCGGTGTCTGGCCTGAGTTAGGAATTTAAAGGGATCCTAAGTATTTCTAATGCATGGCCAAGGTTGAAAAGCACTGGTTTATCCTGGGCCAGGGCTGACATTCTGACTTTCCAACCAGCTACTAGGAGAAACCTGTGTTGCTGCTCTAGCCACACTTCAGCAGAAAGAATCTGATCCATTCAGGATCAACCAGAGCCTAATTAAGAGTTTTAAGGACATATTAGTCTAAATAAGAGATTTCCTAGCACTAGAGATATGCAGCATCAGCAGAGCAAAGAGAGTAAGGCTGAAAAAAACAAGAGTACATTCACTTGCAAATAAAAAGAGGAAAGAAAGCCCTTAGTGGGTAAAAGCTTCTACCACGAACATTTATTTTTGTTAAAGCAGATTATAAATTCTCATCAGTACAAATATATATATTATGTATATATATATATATATATATATATATATAACTTACATTTGATTGTAAGGCCAACGTTCAAAAGTAAAAATGAGATGGGAATCTCATGTTACCCGAGGTCAAGTGGCTTCAACTGGCAACAGGACATTCCATTCAGGGGAGGGAGGGGAGGGGAGGGGAGGGTGCACACGGTGAAGAAAACCACATTTCCCATTCCCACAAAACTTGCAGGAACAAAATTTAAAGGACAAAACCCACATTACAAACCAACATAGCCTGTGTTCCCTTCTGTGGATATGATTATGTCATTGTCACCTTAGTGTTAAAATAAAGGAGTAATGTAAGGAAATTGCAACAATATATAAAAAATAACATTCTCTAGAGCATCGATTGATTTCATCAAAATAATGACATTAGGGTTTTATCATAGTTTTAAAACCAGGACAATACTGCTTTCATTTTCTTTATTTAAAACTACAATCTAGTGACGGTATTGGTCATAAGTATGATTGTTGTTGCAATGTGCTACTTACAATGAATGACCACAGACAGACCAGGATCCTGCCCGCAGCTTTCAACCCTCCCTCTTTTTACTTCCATAGGCATCAATGATAAATCAATCTTATGTACAATTTCTTACAACTAACCCTTTTACTTTTGGCAAGATTACTTACAACTTATACAACTTTTTAATATTGAGAACTATTTAAAATATTCTAAATGCATAAAAATAAAGATTTTGGCTTTTGATATATATTTATAATATTCTGTTAACTCAAAATGGAAGCTCAACTTGACCCCCCAAATCTAGCTCTGTTGAGCAGTGCTGTTGCACACTCTTAAGAATTCGGGCAGCACAGCCTGCTGCTTTTCCTAGCCTGAGCACAAGCCACGTTGTTCCTGGCCTCTAAGACAGGCCAGTACTAGGAGGAAGTAGGTGAATGGTCTGAAAAATGAAAGGAGGTCATTTTGCTTCCTACTGTTTTCTATTCCAGTAAAATGTGCTTTGAATACAGATTCCTGTTCAGATTCTTCTGCCTCTCTGTTGCCAGAGGTTTGTAAGGGGGTGAGGGAGGCAGGTACAGAGGGCGACATTTCCTTGGCTTCTTTAGTCTAGCTGCAAGTCTTTTCTAGGACTGGTTTTCCCCACTTCTTTCCAGATCACCCCTCACAGCACTCGGTGCCTGGACTTGCTCCTTTAGGGTTAGTGAGAAGTGGACTGACCGGGAAGACCAGGTCCCCTTTGCTTGTTTGATGTTCATGCCCTGCCCTTGCCTAAGTACAGACAAGATACATATGCCATAAAGATCACCTAAAGTTCAATTTCAAATGTCTTCTGTAAGTCCCTGGAGAACGGGTTGGTAGGGGAGGGGTTAGTACGCTGCTTGGACTTGCTTTCTAACGCAGCCCACTGGGCTTCGAAAGGATCAACTGGACCATGGCCTGCAGGAACCTCTGTGTGCTTGTCCCCTGCAGCCAACCTGCCATCGTCTACACCATTGAAAGCTGCAGAACCGTTGAGGTGCTGAGCAGGAGGCTTAAAGAAGGGACTGGCGGTGGTACTGCTTGTCTCATACTGAGGGAATGTCTGCTGCCTGACCAGGCTGGGTGACTGACGGGGGTGGGCAGCCTGAGGATGACCTGCAGTGCCAAACACATTGGCTACCATCTGGGAGGGGGTGATGCCTACCACAGGCACGTTAGGGGCTGAATAGGGCATCCCGTTTGCCACAGGATAGGACTGGACAGGGACAAAGGCTGGCTGCAGGGGGGGGACCGCACCCACTGGCACAGGCTGGGAGGTGAGGAATGCACTCCCTTGGAAAGGTGGTGCTGGCTGGGAGATGGCGGTGGGTGGAGGTGGCTGGAGAACTGGCTGCAGAGGGGCAGCTGAGACCTGGGGCTGCTGGGCCCGGACACTCTTCGATACTTCTTCTAGCCAGCGGTCAGCCTCAGAGGGAGTGCGTCTATGCCCCGCCTGGAAGAGGCCTGGAGAGGCGGCACCAGAAGACTGACCCCACTCGGTCCCTGGAACCAACAAGATGAAGAGGGACAAGAGAAGTCAGTGGCTCCTTTCCTTGCCTTCTAGCTTTGGTGATTTGAATGGCTCTACCACTCACGACAAGCCCTCTAGCAGGATATTTTCTAGCTTTGGTGATTTGAATGGCTCTACCACTCAGGACAAGCCCTCTAGCAGGATATTTTCTAGCTTTGGTGATTTGAACGGCTCTACCACTCACGACAAGCCCTCTAGCAGGATATTTTCTAGCTTTGGTGATTTGAATGGCTCTACCACTCAGGACAAGCCCTCTAGCAGGATATTTTCTAGCTTTGGTGATTTGAATGGCTCTACCACTCAGGACAAGCCCTCTAGCAGGATATTTTCTAGCTTTGGTGATTTGAACGGCTCTACCACTCACGACAAGCCCTCTAGCAGGATATTTTCTAGCTTTGGTGATTTGAATGGCTCTACCACTCAGGACAAGCCCTCTAGCAGGATATTTTCTAGCTTTGGTGATTTGAACGGCTCTACCACTCACGACAAGCCCTCTAGCAGGATATTTTCTAGCTTTGGTGATTTGAATGGCTCTACCACTCACGACAAGCCCTCTAGCAGGATATTTTCTAGCTTTGGTGATTTGAATGGCTCTACCACTCAGGACAAGCCCTCTAGCAGGATATTTTCTAGCTTTGGTGATTTGAACGGCTCTACCACTCACGACAAGCCCTCTAGCAGGATATTTTCTAGCTTTGGTGATTTGAATGGCTCTACCACTCAGGACAAGTCCTCTAGCAGGATATTTTCTAGCTTTGGTGATTTGAATGGCTCTACCACTCAGGACAAGCCCTCTAGCAGGATATTTTCTAGCTTTGGTGATTTGAACGGCTCTACCACTCACGACAAGCCCTCTAGCAGGATATTTTCTAGCTTTGGTGATTTGAATGGCTCTACCACTCAGGACAAGCCCTCTAGCAGGATATTTTCTAGCTTTGGTGATTTGAATGGCTCTACCACTCAGGACAAGCCCTCTAGCAGGATATTTTCTAGCTTTGGTGATTTGAATGGCTCTACCACTCAGGACAAGCCCTCTAGCAGGATATTTTCTAGCTTTGGTGATTTGAATGGCTCTACCACTCAGGACAAGCCCTCTAGCAGGATATTTTCTAGCTTTGGTGATTTGAATGGCTCTACCACTCACGACAAGCCCTCTAGCAGGATATTTTCTAGCTTTGGTGATTTGAACGGCTCTACCACTCAGGACAAGCCCTCTAGCAGGATATTTTCTAGCTTTGGTGATTTGAATGGCTCTACCACTCAGGACAAGTCCTCTAGCAGGATATTTTCTAGCTTTGGTGATTTGAATGGCTCTACCACTCAGGACAAGCCCTCTAGCAGGATATTTTCTAGCTTTGGTGATTTGAACGGCTCTACCACTCAGGACAAGCCCTCTAGCAGGATATTTTCTAGCTTTGGTGATTTGAACGGCTCTACCACTCAGGACAAGTCCTCTAGCAGGATATTTTCTGGTTCTGGTAGGAGAGAAGTATTACCAGCCAAGGACATTTTGTAGTGGAACAAAGAGACTCTGTCAGACCATGTTCCTGTCTTAGCAGGTGGCTGCCTGGTGTCAGAAATCCTGCCTTGTCACCATGGCTTTTCCACAGAACAGAAGCCAGCTTTCACACTCTAAAGGACTGGCAGGTTCATCTTTAATAGAACAAAAAGAAAATTACCAGGGGGGCTGGGAAGATGGCTCAGTGGTAGAGCGCTTGCCTTGCATGCCTGAGGCCCTGGGTTCGATTCCTCAGTACCACATAAGCAAAAAGAAAAAAGCCGGAAGTGGCGTTATGGCTCAAGTGGTAGAGCACTAGCCTTGAGCTGAAGAGCTGAGGGACAGCGCCCATGCCCAGAGTTCAGGCTCCAGGACCGACCCCCCCCCCCCCCAAAAGAAAATGACCAGGGACCTGGCCATACCTTGCTGGCCCCTACCTGGTTTTCAGACACATGTTGCCTTTTATTTATTTATTTATTTTGGTCAGTCATTAGGCTTGAATTCAGGGCTGAGGCACTGTCCATGAGCCTCTTTGTGCTCAAGGCTAGTGCTCTACTACTTGAGTCACAGCACCACTTCTGCTTTTATTTATTTTTGGTCGTGAGGCTTGACCTCTGGGCCTGGGTGCTGTCCCTGCGCTCTTCAGTTCAAGGCAAGTACTCTACCGCTTGAACCACAGCACCAGCTCCAGTTTTCTAGTGGTTTATTGGAGATAAGAGTGTCATGGACTTTACTGCCCAAGCTGGCTTTGAACTGTGGATCCTCAGATCTCAGCCTCCTGAGTAGCTAGGATTACAGGGCACCAGTGCCCGGCTTACTTCCACTTTTTGAGTGGTTAATTGGAGATAAGGTTTTCTTTTTTTTTTTTGGGTCCGGTAGTGGGGCCTGAACTCTGGGCCTGGGTGCTGTCCCTCAGCTCTTCAGCTCAAGGCTAGCGCTCTACCACTTGAGCCACAGCACCACTTCCGGCTTTTTTCTTTTTGCTTATGTGGTGCTGAGGAATCGAACCCAGGGCCTCATGCATGCAAGGCAAGTGCTCTACCACTGAGCCACCTTCCCAGCCCTGGAGATAAGATTTTCACAGGGACTTTTCTGCCCAGACTGGCTTTGAACTACAACCCTCAGAGCCTCCTGAGTAGATAGGATTATAAATATGAGCCACTAATACCTGGTTATATGTTGCCTTTTTGGTGAAAGACTATTAGAACTTTAAATCTTTTCAGTTTTATTGTTAGAAGATGTTCATTACAGAAAAAAAATTGTCAATACAGAATGGTAAAAATAAAGTGCTTTTTGTATTACTTCTGGTATAGCTGCTGTTGCAGAGTCCTCTTTCTACAGGCATGTCTATGGACCACTAAACCCAGTGACGGGTTCTCTGGGAATGGAGATGAGGAATCTGTTTTATAAAAGCTCTATGCATGGCTCTGTTCTACAGTGCTAAGAGCTACCAGTCTAATCTCTTTTGTTGCCCACCTTCACCATCCAAAAGGGAACATATTTTTTCCAAAAGGATTGATTCTTCTTTATTTAGTTCCCTTCAGTAACTGGCTGATTTTAGAAACAGTGTGGTTTCTCTGATCCCAGATTCCTCACCACCATCTGCGGCCACCTTACCCGGATGTGTGGCTGCAATTTCCTTGTTAGCAGCATCAGGGGCATGGGCCCAAGGGTTGGTTTCACGCACAGGCATTGCTACGGGTGCTAGAGCAGTATGAGCTGGCTTAGCAGTAAGCACATGGAAGGCTGAGTCAGTGCCATTAGCTACAATGGGAGCAGACAACATCAATGGAGTTAATTCATGCAGGGTATACAAGCGAGTCCATGGAACTGGGTCAGTCAGGCCAATGTACAATACTGGTGGAAGAGACAAGAACAGGTAATGTTGGAATAATCATGCTATCTTGAAATGGATACACAATACCTTCTGGTAAAGAAGGAACTAAAAGAAACAAAAGTGAGACTGTTTGGGGTAAATGTGTATATACAGAGAAGGAAAATGAAGCCTACATAGATCATTTAAATTAAGTTGAACAGAACTGTTATGAGCAGAAAAAAAATCACACAACCCTCCCCCCCAAAAATCCCCTAATCCACCAAAAAACCCAAAAAACTAAAAAACAAACCCTTTTAATTATTCCAATATTGGCACCAGCTATAATTCAGCCTTGGGCTTAAGTTGATTAAGTATTTCATTCTATACTTTTCCAGAAGCTCAAAGTATGCTAACAATAGTGAGTTAATTACTGGGGACTGTATCCATAATGATACATTTTATGTGTATAATTTCATTTAATTCCCTCAAAGTCCCATAGGCCTGGTACTGAGGGTGAAGCTCCCAGATGTTCTGCAGATGGCTAGGATAGTGGCAAATACCATATGCATTAAGTTCTCACCTATACGTACATACTTATGGTAAAGTTTTCTTTCTTCCTTTTTTTTTTTTTGGGGGGGGGGGGGGCGTTGATTGTGGAGCCAGAAATCAGGGCTGGGGCTCTGTCCCTTAGCCTCTCTGTGCTCAAGGCTAGTGCTCTACCATTGAGCCACAGCACCACTTCCCTTACGATTCATAAATCAGGCATGCTGAGAGAATAATAGAATAATAACATTCTGTAATAAAATTGTTTATTTTCTGAAACTTCTATTTACTACTTTGGGATGGCAGTTGACAATGTGGGGGAGCACAACATGAGAAATAAAACTTGGCATGTTTTCATTTCCTGGGTAAATTTATAAATGCTACAGAATTGAAATTAATGTATCTTTTTGAAGATTTTTTTCCCCCTGTGATATTTGTGTTATTGCCTACTGTTATTTATCTCCTTTTTATAATCTGGTAACCCTTGTTCCTTTTCCTGCTGTTACTCCATTATCAGCTTCTACTCTTCATCCTAGCTCTCCCATCTTTGTCATATTTAGTATGGAGCAGACAAGTACCTTCCCCTGGCCTACAATATAGGCACTATTTAAGACTGGCCAACCATATGGTATTGGTACTATTTCATAAGGTTTGTGAAAAAATTACATCCCCTGTAGACTGGGAGCCCCTTCAAGGCACAGAAAGCACTATGTCTTCCCAGTTTTGTCCATCCAGTGCCTTGAAAGCAGGCAGTCAGTAGTCTACAGCAGTTCTGAAGTAGATATTTATAAAGATCTGCATTTAAATCCTCCCTGTAGGATGTCGGCAGTTCATCTACCTAAGGCTCTTTGAGCCTCATTTTTCTCATCCTTATCACCTGAGGATGATGGTTCAAAGCCAGCCTGGACAGGAAAGCCCGTGAGACTCTAATCTCCAATTAACTAACAGAAAACCAGAAGTGGTGCTATGGCTCAAGTGGTAGAGCACTAGCCTTGAACTGAAGAGCTCAGGGACAGCACCCAGGCCCAGAGTTCAAGCCCCACAACCAACAAAAAACAAAATGAAACAACAACAAATTTTTCTGACGGGGAAAAACTACCTTTGGTTAAGAACCACTGTGCCTTGTACCAGAGCAAGTCCTGATGACAGCTACTTCTGGGAAACTGGTTGGGCCTTCAGATCCTTAATAGTCAAGTGGCCACTAAAGCAGTGGATCAGGGTTATAGAAATTCCTAGCAGTCTTTACCTTCCATTTCCTGAGTGTTATACTAGAAAAAAACCTTTGCTGAAACCAAACAACAAAACAGAAAGAAAAAAGCAAAAGAGGAGAAGGAAAGAGAAACTCCTAGTAGGAGATGAAGAATGTACATGCAGAACAGTGAGTGCAGACATCTTAGGAAAGGGGAAGGAGACAAAGCCCAGAGATGTGGCTGAATAGGGAAGTCAGTCAGTCTAAGATCTCCATACACGTGTCCAACCAGCTTGTGAAGCTCAGGGTGCCGAGTGCAGTTAGTGAACAGCAGACTAGTTTTAGAATGTGTGAGCAAGTCAGAAACACCAACCTTGGAAGGTAGGAGACTGTGGTGCCACCACAGTCACTGGTTTGGTCATCGGAGCAGAGGAGAAGGGGTCCTCAGAGGGTGTGCTGAAGGCATTGGTGATCTGAGAACACAGGGAGCTGATGCTTTCTGCCTCTCCTTCTACCTCTGGCACTGCAAAACCAAGAGAAAATGGTTTCTAGTCAGGAAAATGGAATAATCTGGAAATTTAGACCATGGCAATGTTACCATTCTCACTTTCTCCAAAGTTTCTAGGACCAAGGTATAAACTGTCATTAAAAAATCAAAAGGGGGGACTGATGTGTAGGATAGGCATGTGCAGTGCATGTGCAGTGGCACATGCCTATATTCCCAGCTACTCAAGAAGCTAAGGCAGGACGATAATTTGAGCCTAGGAATTTAGGACTAGTGTAGGTAACTCAGGAGGCAGAGATGATCACGGTTTGAGGCCAGCCCAGGCAAAAACAAACAAAAAACACACAGCAAGACCTAACAGCTTGCCAAGGCTCCACAAACAAGCTGGGTGTGGTGGTTCGTGCCTGTAATCTCAGCTACACAAGAAGCAGAAGTGGGAGGGTTGTGGTCTGAGGCTGCAAAAAGCATGAGATGTTATCTGGAAAACAAAAACCACCTGAAACAAAATGAGTTGGGGCATGGTTCAAGTGGTAGAACATCTATCTAGCAAAGGCACGGACTGAGTTAGAAAGTACGAGCAGGTGCTGGTGGCTCACATCTGTAATCATATTCAGCCTGCGAGATGCTTATCTTCAATTAATTACCAAAAAGCTGGAAGTAGAGTTGTGGCTCAAGTGGTAAAGTGCCAGCCTTGAGCAAGAAAGCTGAGATGGGGCCTAAGTCCTGAGTTCAAGCCACAAGACTGGCCCCCTCTACCCCCCTCCCCCCCCCCAAAAAAAACACAACAAAAATCTGACTTTTGTATTCTTTTGTATCACTGAGGAAGCTAATTATGTAGGCAGAATCTTTGCTCATTTGTGAAAAGAGAATAATAGATTTTCTCTGGCTCTGCCTCAGAGAGAGTTTGAGTTTGAAACAAGGTACTTAAAACATTAGGAATTTCAGTTTTTAAAGACATTGGAAGACCATACTAAAGCTACCAGCACAACTATATTTATTGCGGCATTATTTACCATAGCTAAGATATAGAACCAACCCAGATGCCCCTCAGTAGATGAATGGATCAAGAAAATGTGGTATATGGGGCTGGGAAGGTGGCTTAGTGGTAGAGTGCTAGCCTTGCATGCATGAGGCCCTGGGTTCGATTCCTCAGCACCACATAAGCAAAAAGAAAAAAGCTGGAAGTGGCGCTGTGGCCCAAGTGGTAGAGCACTAGCCTTGAGCTGAAGAGCTGAGGGACAGTGCCCAGGCCCAGAGTTCAGGCCCCATGACCGGACACCTCCCGCACCCCCCCAAAAAAAAGAAAATGTGGTATATATACACAATGGAATTCCATGCTTTCATCATTAAGACTGACATTGCCCCATTTGTTAGGAAATGGAAAGACTTTTCTATTAATGAAGTAAGCCAGGCCCAAAGAAACATAGGTCCCATGGTTTCCCTTATTTGCAATAACTAGTATATGTCTGGGACAAGCAGAAAAGCTCAGATAAGATGATGTTAAGCTAAATGAACCCCAAGATAGGGACACAAGTGGTTATTTCTTCCTTGCCATTGTTTCTAACGTATTTATAAGGTACCATGTGATTTTTTTGTTGCTTTGTATGTCCCTCCCCCATGGTATAACCTCTGTTTTCACTGTATTTGATGTTGGTATAATTTAGGGGGGAAGGGAGGGAAAAATCAAAATGTTTAAATAGGGAAACAGATTGACCCATCGCAACAATGAGATGTAAAAGACGCTATGTCGAAAACAAACTTTACAATTTAGGTGGGGTGGGGTCATGGGGGGTGTAGTTGAGGAGGTGGGAGGAAAGGGATGGTAGGGGAAAAACAAAGGAGGAGGCAACAATGCTGGATAAGAAATGTACTCATTACCTTGCTCACGTAACTGTAACCCCTCTGTACAGTATTTTCACAATAAAAAACTTATTTTAAAAAAAGACATTGGAAGCTGAAAAGACCCTTAGTGATCACTTAGTTCAACCATTCTTTAAGTCTAGCTTTATCTGTCAAAAGAATAACTCTTTATTTTCATACCACTGCCAATGGGAGTGCCTACTGAGGTGAAGCTTCCTCATGTTCTTTTACAGCAATAGCTTGATATATCTCAGAGGGAAGTAAAATACTGTCCGGCAGAAGCACTGACAAGATCTAATACTGGATCACATGATGAGGATACAGCTTAGGAGCTGGCTCTGTTGAACAGAAGCCACACAAAGGCCTGTGTGGCAATTTTGAAACTTAATGAATAAATGTAAGGAAGCTCACTGTTTCTGATGAATAACAGATCTTAGATTTAGACAAGAGACTGGTTTAGAGTTTCCTCCCTATGAGGACAATCAGCTACAAGGACAATGAACACTTATTCATTTCTTCTGGTACATCTGCCAGTGGTGTTATTTAACTGCAAATTTCTAAGGCTTCTTTAATTAATTCTCTCCTGAGTCCCAAATAGCCGAATAAGAATGGAAATTTGAGGGCTTTGATGTTTACAAACAGGCTGGCTGAGAGGTAATGTACTTACATCAGGACAAACCATAAACCCATGGCTTAGGCAAGAATTCCATCATCTACGTGTTGAAGAGAAATGAATGATTCACCTCTGTGGACCTTAGTTTTCTCCCAGCCTCAGAGAGGGGCAGCAAGCTGGGTAGGATTTGTGTTGCCACTGGAAGTGATGGTAATCAGTGCTAGAGCTCTTGCTGAGTCAGGCGCACGCTGTTACCTGCATTTTTTATGGGGAAATCAGTCTTCCGCTGCATAGTGGAAGGCAACTCGTTGATGCGTAGGGATAGCTGGCGTTTAAAGGGTGACATCTTCTGGCTAAGAGCAGGAAATCCACGGAAAGAGCCTTGGCGAGCAAGCTGTTCAATTGGTGCATGCCGACGTGGGATGGCATGAGGATTGTTCATCTCCAGAGAGGCAGTGGGATCCAGAGTGGGAGAAGTAGGAGAGGACGGGGATGGCGCAGTGTTGCCAGGGGCTGCTGATGAACCAACAACCGTCTTATCTGTTTCAGCTCAAGAAAATCAAGAGAAAGAGGACCTTAGCAATAATCCTCATAGACTTTGAGTTTACAGGCTGAGGAACTCAAAAGCTCTCATTTTTTAAATTCCTTCCCTTCCCAATGTCTCTTAAGACAGACTGGAAGTAGGATTTTCATCCTCCATTTTTGAGACAGATAAGATTTAACAACCACATGTCATATGGTATATCTACTAAGACACAAATACTACATCTTTTATTTTCTTGCATTTATTTACCAAGGAAGACTTTAAGTTTGTTTTTTTGCAGATCATGGGGCCTGAACTCTGGGCCTGGGCACTGTCCCTTCAGCTCTTCAGCTCAAGGCTAGTGCTCTACCACTTGAGCCACAGCGCCACTTCCAGCTTTTTCAGCTTATGTGGTGCTGGGGAATCGAACCCAGAGCCTCATGCATGTGAGGCAAGCACTCTACCACTGAGCCACCTTCCCAGCCCAGACTTTAAGATTTTTTAAAGTCCTATTCCAAAGAAGTCATCATGTGAGGTCCTTTAAAGAACAGTTCATGGTTTTCAGTGTTTGTTTGGTGATTTGAGGGGTTGGAGATGACTTTGAGAATAAAGAAGTCAAAAATACCTAAAAGCATACATTTGATTAAGTGTTTTAAGTAGTCTTGAAATAAGGGACAACAGCATTTGTGGCATATCTGAATTAAAGAATGAAGAAGGAGGGGCTGGGAAGGTGGCTCAGTGGTAGAGTGCTTGCCTTGCATGCATGAGGCCCTGGGTTCGATTCCTCAGCACCACATAAAGCAAAAAGAAAAAAGCCAGAAGTGGCGCTGTGGCTCAAGTGGTAGAGTGCTAGCCTTGAGCTGAAGAGCTGAGAGACAGCGCCCAGGCAAAGAGTTCAGGCCCCACGACCGGACCAAAAAAAAAAAAAGAATGAAGAAGGAAAAAATTTAAATTTTATTAAACCTAAATATAAAAGACTTTTTCCACATGAGCAAGAGTTGAGCTCCATTCTGACTATGGTAAATCTCTACCCTTAATCTTCACAATCCAATGAAGATTTTTAGGACTCAATTAGTCTGTTGCTGTGTATCCCAGTGTTATTTGGTGGTATTAAAGAATATGCTGTCAGGACTGGTGTGGAGCCCAGTGGCAGAGTACTTACCTGCCATGTGTGAGGCCCCAATATCACAGAAAATGAAATAAATAAATGAAAATCACTACAGCATACTAAATAATAGCTATGCAGATAGACTTTTCAAGTACAGATAGCATGATGTGGGCTGCAGGCATGACTTAGACAGTAGAGTGTCTGCCTAGGGCACACAAAGCCTTGAGTTCAAACTCCAATACTGCTCCCGCCCCCCACCTTTAACACCCCCCCCCCAAAAAAAAGCATGAGTTTTTTTTTTTTAATTTTTTGCTTGAGAAGGAATAGCTAGAACTATAGGCATGTACCCTCATGCTTGACTCATTTTTATTTACCTATTTTTTTAGTATTGGGGTTTTGAACTCAGGGTAAACTCATGTTTTCCAGGCAGGCATTCTGCCATTTGAGCCTTAATTCTAGTTTTTAGTATATTTTTTACATCTTGATATCCTGGCACAAATGTTTACAATACATAAAAAAAAAATCACTCTTAGCTGTGTAGTGTATGCTATAGTCTCAGTACTTGGGAAGCTGAGGCAGATGTTCAAGGCCAGTCTGAGCAATATAGGGAGACCTCCTGAATTCCCATCACTATGAAAAATTGCAAATGAATATATGCATGAGTTCTTTTTGCAGCACAGGGATTGTAAGAATTTGTGCTGTTTGGGTATTAGATAAATGATGGCCAGTTTAGAAATAAATGTTTGTGAATTTCTTGTGGTTTTACCCTACATAAAACATTTTCCCCCACCATCTTAATTTTAAAATACTCCCAATTCAACTTTACAGACTACTAATGTTTACATAGACATTGCTGCGATGATGCTATGTGTACCAAAAAAAATTATTCTATAATACTACACACTAAAATTAACAGTTCTATGGGAAAGAGGTAGGCATTGACTTTTGTGAATAAAGCATTAAAAATTTTAGCAGTAATTAATCAACACAATCTCACTGTTAAATCTCTGACAGTATCATAGTGTCTCCTTTGCAGTCCTAAACCATGTTGGGCTTATGCTTCTTCCTTCAAAATGCTAGGTCTTTGATCGCATTTGCTTCTCATAGAGACTAGATACATCAGAATTAAACAGCTGTTCCAGGATGAGGCAGGAGCTAGGTTGTCTCTGAACTTTCTTCAACCTGCCCCAGAGGAGCTTACTATAATAGAAAGAATAAATGGTTTTTAAGCCATTAAATTCGCCACTTTTAGGCACATTTAGGCACTTTTGTAGGATTTTCAGGATTTTGTTAATAAGGGTTTTCTTTTGGGGGAGGGTATATGTACCTGCTAGGTACCAGATTGTATTTGTTAGGCAAGTGCTCTACCACTGAGCTATTCAACCAGCTCTGAGCTTTTCTTGATTTGATAAAACTTGTCCCTGCTAGATTTAAACTATTAATCTGCGGAGAAAAAAACGGTATTAAATAAACTCACACTGTAGAATAAATTGTACCTTTCTTAGCATCTTGCATTTGTTTCATGATCTCCTCTCTTTCTGCTTGTTCAGTAGCAGTTGTGACACGGAATGATCCTTCTCTTGTAAAAGTGGTCCGACTGGCATCAAAAGTAGCAGTCACTCCACATTCCTTCTCCCGCTTCTGTTTACGCTCTAAACAGGCTGCGAAGGCACAGCCTACTGCATGGCTCAGTCTTTCACCCTACAGATAGAAGGTTTTTAAAGCCTTTTAAAAGTGCTATACCAACAACCAGAAATGTATCTGTTTTTATGCAAGACAAAATATAAAGTCCAGTTTAAAATTACGTTTCATATGTTAGTATACTAAATTATATTATATTACAGGTCTTGGATAAAGTGATCTTCAGAAATCTGTTTTTGTGAAGAGCCACTGGGAGCTCCTTATTGCAATGTTCCTTTTGTCACCTGAGCTCTGGTTACACACTACTCAAAGTTCTAAGGTAAATCCAACTGCCCTTTAAGGGGGAATTGTGGGAATATTTTCTAGGCATTTTGGGAGCTTACACACATTGTCAACATGTCTAGGAAGAAAAGGTGTGAACTCAAACCTTCTGATAAGTTCTTGATTTTACAAGGGAGTTAAACAAAGAAAGCTTGGCTTCCAGTTTCCTTTTTTCTGAGTGCCCCATTCTCTTACCACCTTCTCCATTTTTGGCTCTTAGTACTTTTAGGCTGTCCTTATTTTCTTGTAGCTCTCTCCCCCAACTTCACTTCCAAACCACACAAAGGCAAAAGCATATATTTTGAAAAAATTACTTTATTATTACTAAAAGGTGATGTACAGAGGGATTACAGTTACATAAGTCAGGTAATGAGTACATTTCCTTTTGTACAGTGTCATCCCTTCCCTCACTCTCTAAAAGCATATTTTTAACTATAATCTCTACTGAGAAAATCAACAGATTTTTTTTAAAGTGCTTATATTGTGTGTGGGAAGAGAATGGAGCAAATATAAACATGGGTATAAGGAATACATATATTTGATTAGCCCAAAAGTCAACAATTCAATGGATTATTTTTTACCAGAGTTATCTGTATTTTTTTTTTTATTTTTTTATTTTTTGAAATTGTCCCCTCGTGCCTTTAAGAGCCAGACCCATTCTTTGGGCTGCCCTCCTAAACTGAGGGGGGTACACTGTGAGTCCTGCCAGACTGCGCATGCACCGCAGGAGCTGAGCACCGGGCAGCAGAGGGCGTGGCCAGGAGCCGAGCACCGGGCAGCAGAGGACGTGGCCAGGACGGAGTTATCTGTATTTTAAACCAAATCCTTCATTGTACAGTAAAAAATATTAAGAGATGCTATAGTAACTGTTGGCATCATTAATCGTGGGAAGAGGCATCTGAAAACAGGGAAGCTTTTGTGGTATTCTCAAAAATCAAACCACGTGGTCAGCTGCTTCTACTTAGGGCTGTTGAGTAAGCTATTTTACTGGGGTTCATATGCCAATATCAGACATCAGTAGGACAGGTAATGTGCAACATGCTCTTTGTTTCTAAGACAGATTTTACATTGCTCCAAACATTTTGACTTCACTAGACTGAGAACTGCTATCTGACTTCCCAGTAGAATGATATAAGGCTAGGGTGGAGAGACCTGAAAGATTCTTAGGACCTGTTTGCATTTGAGCACAGCTCTGTTAGAAGGACAAAGACAAGTGAAATAGGTTTGTTGTTTTTTCAAGGCCAAGGCAGAAATTCTTCTTCCTTTTTAATTATTTGGTGTTTATTATGTATATGGTCTCTAATAAATTCAATATATTTTTTTTTATCATCAGCTAGTTCTTTAAATTAAAAATTCTTGGGCTGGGAAGGTGGCTTGGTGGTAGAGTGCTTGCCTTGCATGCATGAGGCCCTGGGTTCGATTCCTCAGCACCACATAAGCAGAAAAAAAAAAGCTGGAAGTGGCGCTGTGGCTCAAGTGGTAGAGTGCTAGCCTTGAGCTGAAGAGCTGAGGGACAGCGCTCAGGCCCAGAGTTCAGGCCCCACGACCAGACCCAAAAATAAAAATAAAAAATAAAAAATTAAAAAATTCTTTGCAGATATAAGGGAACAAAAGTTATAGATTTAAGGATTTCAGTCCTTCTCACATACTACACATAATAAGTACACACTCTTGGAGACAGTTTTGTTGCATTCCTGAAGAACACAAAAGTGACATTTGCTGAGCCATAGCTCAGCAAAATTCAGTAAAATTATGAGAAAAATGAAGAACTAGCTATTTATGCTTTCTGTAAAGAACAGAAACAACAGTAATAGTGAGTTGTTTTTTTTTTTGGTCGGTCATGGGGCTTTGAACTCTGGGGCTGGGTGCTGTCTCTGAGCTCTTCAGCTTAAGGTGAGCATTCTACCACTTGAGCCACAGCACCACTTCTGGTCTTCCTGTGGTTAACTGGAGATAAGAAGCTCACAGACTTTCCTGCCTGGCCTGGCTTTGAACTGCGATCCTCAGATCTCAGCTTCCTGAGCAGCTAGGATTACAGGTGTGAGCCACTGGTGCCCGGCTTTTTTTTCCCCAGTCATGGGGCTTAAACTCAGGGCCTGGGGTGCTGTCCCTGAGCTCTTTTTGCTCAAGGCTAGCACTCTACCACTTTGAGCCACAGCTCTATGTATAGTTTTCTGGTGATTAATTGGATATAAGAATCTCATATACTCTCCTGCCTAGGCTGGCTTTGAACCATGATCCTCAGATCTCATACTTCTGAGTAGCTAAGATTACACTTGTAAGCCACTACTACCAGGCAAGAGTTAAATTCATTGACCTTGGTTCAGGAGAAATTCTTGAAGAATAACCACTTGGGTTGGTAATAAATGCAAATTCTCAAGCTTCAACCCAGGACCCAGAATGAAAAGTCCTAAGAAAGCAGTCTAACCTACTGGGTGATTCTGATACAGTCAAACTGGCCTGAGAGATTCAAATAGCCACTGGATCATGATCTGACAATAAAATGTTTTAAATGTGCTTATAGTCGTCACAATGCTAACCTGCATTTATAGAAGTAGGTACTAAGACTTAGAGAATGTTAAAAAACTTGCCCTATATCATAGTTGGTAGGAAACACAGCCAGGATTGAACCGCAGGTCTGACCTAGAGCCCCAGACCCTTGACATTTGTTTATAGCCTCTCAAAAAAGTTTTAAGACTCTTTTGATCAATTTTAGAGCATGAACATGACCATACCACTTTAATTAAATTGTTGTTTGGCAAATGCCGTATTCTACCTGGACTTTTAAAAACTCAGGAAACATTGCTGGGTGCTGGTGGCTAACACCCATAATCCTAGCTACTCAGGAGGCTGAGATCTGAGGATCACTGTTCAAAACCAGCCTGAGAAGGAAAGTCCATGAGACTCTTATCTTCAATTAACCACCAGAAAACTGGAAGTGGCACTGTGGCTCAAGTGGTAGAGCACTCAAGTGGTAGAGCCCTTGCCTTGAGCTGAAGAACTGAGGGACAGCACCCAGGTCCAGAGCTCAAGCTCAATGACCACCACCACCAACAACAACAACAAAAAAAACCCAGGAAACTATATATGTAATGTAATATAAAGTAAGATCAGAAACAGACATGCTGAATTGAAAGCCCTTTGTAAAACTACATAAAGATAGTTTAAAAATTATAAAAATAAAAGCACAGTAAGATTATTGTAATCTAAGAGACTTGTCTTTCATGTTAGAATTTTGTATAATTTACATGAAGGATGAAAATTATTCTTTTTTGAGGGTCTTACAGGCTGGCCTTGAACTCACTGACAGAGGTAATAGGAGTGTGAATGTCTTGAATAAAAGGAACAAAATCTATGTAAAAGGTATTTCCATCATACACTGTTTAAAAAGGTTGTAGAGACTGCTTGGTTGAGGCAGTCTGGAGGTTCGGGCAAGGACACTCATGTGTGAACACAGAGTTGGACTCACCGTGTCCTTGACAGCCATGAAGCAGTGACAGATCCAGCGTCGCGTGGTGCCATCCCGACAGATGTAAGAGAAGGCTCTATCAAAGTTCCTATCTGGGGCACAGAATGAGACTTTCTCTATTGTCTGGTCAACTATGAGGTCCTAGAGAATGGGAAGGAGAAAGGAAGAGCGGTCTTAGGAGGCTGTTTAGTTTTCATGGAATAAATACAAGATGTTTATATCACAATTCCGAATGCTTACACCTGATGCAGTGGGGCTATGGAAGAGCTATATCTGTGTCTAGTAGTTTGAAGACTGAGTATTTGATTTAGGAGCCATCATGTTACTGGATATCCCTGACTTCATCTACATGTTCTAAAACATGCTAGTTGGTTCTAGTTTTTGACCTTCTGTGGTACTGGGCCTTGTGCTTGTTACACAGCAGTCTACTAGTTGAGTCATATTTTCAGCCCTTTTTGCTTTCATTATTTTTCCAATATGGTCTCGGTTTTGCCTAGACTAAAATCCTACTTATGCTTCCCACATAGATGGGACGATAAGCCAACGCCACTCTGCCTGGTTCTGCTGGGATGAGGCCTTGCCAGCTTTTTTGCACAGGCTGGCCCCAGACCTTGATTCTCTAGATCCCAGCCCCACAAGTAACGCCTTTTCTTTGGTTGTCTCAGAGCCAGGATTCCTTTTTGACATCCTAGTGGCTGTTGCTGCCTCAAATTTTGTTTTTTGGACTTCTTAGAACAAATGAAATATTATGAATTTTCCTATTTGAGTTTTGGCTACACTGTGTGCTATAATATCCTTAGGGTAGCAACTGTGGAATAGGAAATTATTCAGTATCATTTCCTTCCTCTGAGTGTCAGTTTCTTTCAGCATCTGCTTCAAATAATTGGGTTACTTTACTTAGAATGTATAGTTTCTTTACAAGAGGGTCAATCCCATAGGGGTATCACACAATCACTGCAGAAGGGAAATATACTTTTTTTTTTTTATCTCTTACAGTAATGAATGGAGTGTGAAGTCAGGGACTCCAAATATGTAGGTGCTCTACTCCTTAAGCCACCCTCCTTTAGTTTAGCTATTATTTTTTTTTGGTCGGTCGTGGGGCTTGAACTCTGGGCTTGGGCGCTGTCCTTGCGCTCTTCAGCTCAAGGCAAGCGCTCTACCGCTAGAGTCTCAGACTTTCCTGTGCTGATTGGCTTTGAACTGTGATACTCAGATCTCAGCCTCCTGAGTAGCTAGGATTACAGGCCTGAGTCACCGTGCCCGGCTTCCTTTAGTTATTTTTCAGGTAGGTAGGGTCTTATGTATTTGCCTGGGGCCAGCTTCAAATTGTGATCTTCCTACTTAAGTTAGGAGAACACATGTTCACCATCATACTGGCTTATTAGTTGAGATAAGGGCTTATTGGTTGAAATAAGGTCTTGCTAACTTTTTGATCTGGCTAGCCTCAAATTTTAATCTTTCCAATCTCTAGCTCCTGAGTAATTGGATTTACAGGTGTGAGCCACCATACCTGCCCCCCTGAGGTACTTTACATTGCAAATTCTAATCAAAATAATATTCAACTGAAGAGAAAACCAAATACTAAACTAGTAATCGATTCATGTTTAAACTGTTACTAGAAAATTCATATACACGTTTCCTTACTTATGAAACGGAAGGGTCACACACAAAGAACTACATAATTTTCATTTTATAAATATAAATATTCTGAAAAAATCATCAGAAGACTATAAAAACCTAATAAAACTAACAAAACCTAACTCTTCCTCCTCCTCTTCCTCTTCCTCCTCTTCTCCTCCTCCTCCTCCTCCTTCTTCCTCTTCTACCTCTTCTTCCTCCTTCTCTTCCTTCTTCTTCTTCATCATCTTTTTTTTGTTTCAGTACTGGGGCTTGAACTCAGAGCCTCTAGTCCTCTTTCTGGCTAAAAGCTGAAGCTATCCTAGTTAAACCACATCTCTACTTCCAGATTTTGCTGGTTAATTTAGAGATAGTCTCATGGATTTTTCTGCCTGGGCTGATTCTAACTTTGATCCTCAAAGCTACATCTCCTCTTAGGGCTTTTTGACAGTTAATGAAAGATAAGAGTCCCTTGGGATTTCTCTACCTAGATTGGCTTTGAACTATCACCTTCAGATCTCAGCCTCCTGAGTAGTTAGGATTACAATTGTGAGCCACTGACAGTTTAAAAGTTTTTAAAGGAATTCTATAAGAACCAAGTAGGGGGGCTGGGAAGGTGGCTCAGTGGTAGAGTGCTTGCCTTGCATGCATGAGGCCCTGGGTTCGATTCCTCAGCACCACATAAGCAGAAAAAACCGGAAGTGGAACTGTGGCTCAAGTGGTAGAGGCTAGCTTTGAGCTGAAGAGCTGAAGGACAGCGCCCAGGCCCAGAGTTCAGGCCCCACGACTGACCAAAAAAAAAAAAAAGAACCAAGTAGGCCGAGTGCTAGTGGCTCACGTCTGTAATTCTAGCTACCCAGGAAGCTAAGATCTGAGGACCAATGTTCAAAGCCAGCCCTGGCAGGAAAGCCTGTGAGACTTTTTTTTTTTTTTTTTTTGGTTGTGGCTTGAACTCTGGGCCTGGGCGCTGTCCCTCAGCTCTTCAGCTCAAGGCGAGTGCTCTACCACTTGAGCCACAGCGGCACTTCCGGTTTTCTAGTGGTTTATTGGAGATTAAGAGTCTCACGGACTTTCCTGCCTGTGCTGGCTTTGAACCATGATCCTCAGATCTCAGCCTCCTGAGTAGCTACGATTACAGGCGTGAGCCACCAGCGCCCGGCACCTGTGATACTCTTATCTCCAATAAAACACCAGAAAACTGGAAGTGGCACTGTGGCTCAAGTAGTAGAGCACTTGCCTTGAGCTGAAGAGCTGAGGGACAGCGCCCAGGCCCAGAGTTCAAGCCCCACGACCGACCAAAAAAAAAAAAAAAAAAAAAGAACCAAGTAGACGTGGGTGGGGCGAATGGCCAGCTAAGGCAATGTGATATTTTTTGCTCAATGACGAAGGAACTCAAATTTTCATTGCTATACCATAGTAAATTTGTGTGGATTATGGACTGACCGTATCACAAATAGTGACCCCATTATTGTATTAGTCCTTGCTTATTTTTTTTTGGGGGGGGGGGTCAGGTTGTGAGGCCTGAACTCTGGGCCTGGGCGCTGTCCCTCAGCTCTTCAGCTCAAGGCTAGCCTCTACCACTTGAGCCACAGCGCCACTTCCAGCTTTTTTCTTTTTGCTTATGTGGGGCTGAGGAACTGAACCCAGGGCTTCATGCATGGAAGACAAGCGCTCTACCACTAAGCCACCTTCCCAGCCCCTAGTCCTTGCTTATAACTAAATAATCAAGGTGGGAAGAAGGATCCCTTGGTAACAAGCCACCAATTACTAGTATTAGTATGTTAAGAACTAAATTAATGAATGAAAGTGTTATAAGTAGCCACCAGGGGGCAACATCACTTTTAAACTATAGTATAAAACAAATATGTAGTTTTCAAGTACAACACATTTGTCTGGCATGGTGGCATACGTCTGTAATCCCAGTTATTTTGTACAATGAAGCATCATGAATTTGAGCCTATCTTGGGATACATAGCAAGTGCAAGGCCAGAGAGTAGCCTATATGATGATACATTATTAAAAAAGTACAACAAGGGGGGAGGGGGGAGGCTGGGAAGGGATGTGAAGGGTAAACAAAGGAGGAGGCTGCAATGCTTGGTAAGAAATGCACGCATTATCCTGCCCATGTAACTGTAACTCCTCTGTACAGTATGTTCACAAATAAAATTAAATTAAATTAAAAAAAAAAAGTACAACAAAATCTAATCAAAACAACACAAATTCTTATGCTAGGTGCTGGTGGCTCATGCCTGTAATCCTAGCTTCTTGGGAAGTTGAGGTCTGAGAATCAAGGTTCAGAGTCAGCCCAAATTGGATACATCTCAAATTAACCAGCAAAAAGCCAGAACTAGAATAGAAGTATAGCTCAAGTGGTAGAGTGGCAACCATGAGCAGAATGAAGCGAGGTGCTGGTGGCTCAAGCCTGTAATCCTAGTTACTCAGGAGGCTGAGATCTGGGGATAGCAGTTGGAAGCTAAGCCTGGGCAGAAAAGTCACCTGTGAAACTCTTACCTTCTTAACTACTCAAAAACCAGAAGTGGAGCTATGGCTTAGTTAGGTAGAACACTAGCCTTGAGCAAGTAAGTTCAGGGACAGAATCCAGGCCCCAGTTCAACCCCAAGTACACACACACAAACACACACACACACACACACACACACCAATGTTTTTGGTCTGTTGTGGGGCTTGAACTCAGGGCTTGGGCACTGCCCCTGAGCTCTTTCTCTCAAGGCTAGCACTTTACCACTTTGCGCCACAGTGCCACTTCCAGTTTTCTGGCAGTTAATTGGAGATAAGAGTCTCACAGACTTACTTTCCTGCCCGGGCTGGCTTTGAACCACAATGCTCAGATCTCAGCCTACTGAGTACCTAGGATTACAGGTATAAGCCACTAGCACCCTGCTCAAAACCAATTCTTAAAAAACCAATTCTTGGGGCTGGAAAGGTGGCTCAGTGGTAGAGCGCTTGTCTTGCATGCATGAGGCCCTGGGTTCAATTCCTCAGCACCACATAAAGCAAAAAGAAAAAAGCCGGAAGTGGCACTGTGGCTGAAGTGGTAGAGTGCTGGCCTTGAGCTGAAGAGCTGAGGGACAGCACCCAGGCCCAGAGTTCAAGCCCCACGACCGACAAAAACAACAACAACAACAACAAAAAAAAAACCTTAAAAATAGGCTAATTCAGGCTGGGAATGTGGCTTAGTGGTAGAGTGCTTGCTTAGCATGCATCAAGCCCTGGGTTTGATTCTTCAGTACCACATAAACAAAAAAATCTGGAAGTGGTGCTGTGGTTCAAGTGGTAGAGTGCTAGCCTTGAGCAAAAGAAGCTCAGGGATGGTGCCCAGGCTCTGAGTTCAAGCCTCAGGACTAGTCGCAAAAAAAAAAAAAAGTCTAATTCCAGTGATCATTGTTTCCAAAAGCAATATACTAGAATGTAAGCTTATTATTTCTCTTGAATTAAAAAAAAAAAACTCTAAGTGGAAAGTCAAAGGTCTAATATTCAGCTTACTAGGCCACTTACAAGTTAACAGGCAATTTGTCTATCAAAACAGCTTTTTTTTTTTGGGTCCGGTCGTGGGGCCTGAACTCTGGGCCTGGGCACTGTCCCTTAGCTCTTCAGCTCAAGGCTAGCACTCTACCACTTGAGCCACAGTGCCACTTCCAGTTTTTTTTTCTGCTTATGTGGTGCTGAGGAATTGAACCCAGGGCCTCATGCATGGAAGGCAAGCGCTCGACCACTGAGTCACCTTCCCAGCCCTAAAACAGCTCTTATATTGGCCCAACCTTGTCTCTTTGAAATTTTTTTTGAAGTTATTTTCTTGTTAAATTTTCCCCTGGCTTTAGGTCTCTTAGGAAATTTTACTTAATGATTAAATGTACTGACAGCACCCTGTGGTTTCTCAGTGTAGCCAGTGTCTCTATTCTTTTAGTCATTTAGGATTTCTTTCTCTCAAAGGCAAAATGTTCTTTAGGACTGAAGATATTATTTGGAATCTAAGTAAATATCAACCAAAGAACCACTCACAATTCATTTTAATTGTATTTTTAGTTAAGTAGTAGGCTACTTAATCCCCATCACTTTCTAAAAACTGTATTTTCTTTTTCTTTTTTCTTTTTTTTGTGGTCCTGGAGCTTGAACTTAGGGCCTGGGCACCATCCTTGAGCCTCTCTATGTTCAGGCTAGCACTCTACCACTTGAGCCACAGCGCCACTTCCAGCTTTTTCTGTTTTATGTGGTACTGAGGAATGGAACCCAGGGCTTCATACATGCTAGGCAGGCACTCTACCACTAAGCCACCTTCTCAGCCAAAACAGTGTTTTCTTTTTCCTTTTCTTTCTTTCTTTCTTGTCAGTCATGGGGCTTGAACTCTGGGCCTGGACACTGTCCCTCAGCTCTTCAGCTCAAGGCAAGCGCTCTACCACTTGAACCACAGCGCCACTTCCAGTTTTCTGAATGTAGTTTACTAGAGATAAGAGTCTCATGGCCTTTCCTGCTGGGCCGGCTTTGAACCACAATCCTCAGATCTCAGCCTCCTGAGTAGCTAGGATTACAGGCGTGAGCCACTGACACCTGGCTAAAACAGTGTTTTCTTAAGGAACAAGGAGACTGTCATTTTAAAAATAGTTATAATCGGGGCTGGGAAGGTGGCTCAGTTGTAGAGCACTTGCCTTGCATTCATGAGGCTCTGGGTTCGATTCCTCAGCACCACATAAACAAAAAGAAAAAAGCTGGAAATGGCACTGTGGCTCAAGTGGTAGAGTGCTAGCCTTGAGCTGAAGAGCTTAGGGACAGCGCCCAGGCCTAGAGTTTAGGCTCCATGACCAGACCCCTCCCTCCCCCCACAAAAAAAGTTACAATCTGCTGGGCACTGGTGGCTCACACCTATCTATAATCCTAGCTACTCAGGAGGCTGAGATGGGCTATCTCCAATTAAAGCAAAAAGCAGTAAGTGGAGCTGTGGCTGTAACTCAAGGGCAGAACACTATCCTTAAGCAAAAAAGCTCAGGGACAGCACCTAAGACCTGAGTTCAAGCTGTAGGATCGGTGTTGTATAGAGGGGTTACCATTTCCTAAGCCAGGTAATCCGTACATTTCTTTTTTGGACAATGTCATCCCTTCCTTCACTTTCCCCCAGTTTCCCTCTCCCATCCCTGAAGAGAATTCTATTTTTCATAAGGTAAATGAGTAACTAAATTGGTTTCCTGGATGTTAAAATAGCCTCCAAAAAGACTGCACATTGGATAAGGTGGAAGGGTATAGTAACTTCCACAACTTAATGGCACTGTATTTGATCATTAAGATGAAAAAAATCTTACTAGCAGTCACATCTAAGTTTATAAAGCTCTCACCTTAGTCTTTTCATCCACAACTCTTAGTCCATCCGCTGACACCCACAGGACTGCCTTCACTGCTTTCTTTCCAGTCTTGTAAAAAAAAAATAAAAAAACAAAGGGGGTGGGGGGAAGAGACACACACATAATATTAAAAGATCATCTTCCACAGAAAATACTGATTTCTGCCTTCCAAAAGTCCCAAGTACAGATGATGTCCAAGTTCAGGAGGGATGCCCAAAGCCAGATTCTCAAACCAAACTGCAGGAACATTCAGGTATTAACAAGCCAAAGCCATTATTTTAGCAACACAATGCCAAACAATAAGATAAAATAAGGGAGAAGGGACAGATATTATCAAAACCAAGGTATCACATTCCATAAAAAGTAAAGAATTCACAACTAGTTTCTTTATCCATTAAAAAAATCAACTAAGAAAACCAAGAGTCAGATAAATATTAAATACATAAGGAGTTACACCCCAAGTAGCTTCTGTGAGTCTATTTAGAATGAGAAGTAACAGCTAAGTTTAAATGGAAATTCTGACTATTTCACTATTTTCTGGTCCCAATGTTCATAGCAGGAACCTTGGTCACCTGAAATTTTTATGTTAAATAGAGCAAAAAGTCTTCATTATTGTAATACTAACAATTCTTCAGACCCACTATTCCTCCTCTCAAGATTGTAACATAGACTTTAGTTTTTACCGTGAAATGAAGTTCATGAAGATATTTTGGGGACACAGGAAGATTTAAAAAACTACTGAGAATGTGGAATGGGAGAAAATAAGGGAGGGGGAAACATTGTTCAAAAAGAAATGTACTCATTACCTTACTTATATAACTGTAACCCCTCTGTACATCAACTTTACAATAAAATTAAAAAAAAACAGAGAAAATAACTTGTAACAAATTTTCCTTTTACCTGCAGAAACATTGCAGTTGTGCACATGGGCTCACACGCGTGTGTGTCTGTGTGTGTGTGTGTGTGTCACACAGAATCATATGAGAACAAGTTGATATTTGATTTCTCCTGAGACAGAATGCAATAGCCATTTAACAATATCCTTAACTGCCCCAAGAACACAAGCAAAATAAAACAAAAGCAAACAGGCTGAGACTAGGTATCTGATTATCCTAAGTATAGAGTAAAACATGGTACTGGATAAAAACATGGTAGTGGCTTCCAAAAGGAAGAAGAGGGAATAACCAAAGTGTCTACAATTCTCCTTTCCATGTGTCTGAGCCTAGGAGATCCAGGCACTAGAAGCATGCTATTAGTGAAATAAACTGGTGTGATGCATGCCAGCTATATAGCTCCATCGCTACCACATATTTGAAGAGTACATATGATTTGTTGGCCAGCAGAAATAATACAAGAGCTCATACTCCACACTCAGATAAAAGTATAACTAATACAGTAATAAGAGCTAGAGTAGAGCTAAAACAAGATACAGTAATGCCAGAAAGAAGATGCAGTCCAATCTATCTGTGGAACTGGGGAAGGCTATACCAAGAAAGCAGAACTAGGTTTTGAAATGATTTTTCTTGATGCCCTAGGAAGTTAAGGAGGCAAGGGAGTAACAGGTAATGAACATCCCAGCAGAATAAGACCTGAAGGCAAACAAGACACAAGGGAAGGGTCCTGCAAATATTTCAGTATGGCTTGAAAGTATGCTGGGTGAGTGAGGAATGTTGGGGAGGGAGACAAAAACCCAGTAGAAAAGGCCTCATTACGAGGACCCTTGTATGACTGCTAAGGGACTGGATTCTAATTCTGTGAGTAATCAGAAACTATAGAGGAATTTAAACACAATGAACAGATTTCCATTAAAAAAAAACCCCATCACTTTGGCAGCAGTGTACCCAGACTGGAAAAAGACTGACGAGAAGCAAAGTAACTACAAGATTCCAGGTGTGCGAAAAAGGGGGGCAAAGCTTTCCTGACTGATTCAGATATGGAAACAAGAAAGTTTTGAACAGTATCAAGAAGGAGCTGAGGATTCTCGTGGGTAACTGGGAGTAGAATGTATCATTAACCAGCTTAGAGAATAGAAGCAATGCAAAAGCAAGTTTGAGAGAAGAATAAAATTTCAAGCCATGTTTAAGATGTCTGTGCAATACCCAGGTAGAGTTATTCAAACGGCAATTGGATTTATGGCTCTGAAACCCAATACAGAATTTTAGATTTGTGAGACAATGATTGGGGTAAAAAGAGGACAAAAACACTACACAACATCAAGAATTAAAGAATTGAAAAGCTTGTGGAGTGACTCCAGTATAGCCACAAAGGAAAAAAAAAGGAAAAAGGAAAAGAAAGAAACTAAAAGGGCTAAAGGCACAGTTCAAATGGTACAGCATGTTTGGGAGCACAAGGCTCTGAGTTCAAATTGCAGTACCTGGCACCTTCCCCCCAAAAAAGAATTAGAAGATGAACAATTCCTTAAAACATTCTGTCTATGCTTCTCAAGTAGTAATCTTAAGGTTACAGGTATGTACTACCATACCTGGCTGTAACACATTCTATTTTAATAATTTCAAAGTTGCAGGTGGCCTTCATATGGCCTAGCATAGTGTCATGAAAAAGAGTTTCACAATAAAGACAAAATTACTTATTCTTCAAAATTAGCCATTTTACTCTCTAAATATCCAGCCTAAAATAAAATAACATCTTCCCCAAATTCCTTTTATTATGAGTAAATGTAATCCAATATAACAACCAAGCAGGCTTAGATATCGAAAAGATTGCAGGAAGTAAGTCAATTACAAAGGACTAAATCAGAAAACTTGTATTGAAAGACACATAGAGGTGGTGTACAGGTATTATTTTGTTGTTTTTTTTTTTTTTGCAATAAGGTCTGGCTATGTAGCTCAAACTACTCTTTAACTCTATGTAGCCCAGGCAGCCCTTGAACTTGTAATCCTTGTTATTTAGCTTTCTATGTGCTGGGGCTCTAGGTGTACTACCATATTCAATGCACAGGTGACGGCAACATGAAAAATACTGGTGAATGAACACAAAATGGTTACAAAAGTAATACTGAAAAGGTAACTTAAGCTCAGCACACTATAAGATCATTTTTCCTAAATTTAAAAGCTGCCTACTGTAAAAGGCAACTGAAATGAATTATTTTTAAAAATGAACCGAAAAATGATGATGATAAGAACATCTTTGATGACAGTCTTGGTAGGCTAAAAGATCCTAACACTGCTCTTTCATTTCATATAGTGATGCTATCATGGTAAAAAAAATAACTCGGAGTTCGAGTAATAAGTTTTTAAATTGTTTAAATCAGGGACTGGCCAGCTATCTCTGGGCTAGAGAGCAAATATTTTGGGCTTTGCAGGCCATATAATCTCTACTGCTATTATTCAACTCTGTCACTATAGCATAAAACCAGTCACAGACAACATGTAAACAAATATCCATAGCTTTGTTCCAATAAACTATTATTTTCAAAAACAAATACTGGTCTATAGTCTGAAGGGTTCTCATACAAATCATTATGATCTCTAGAAAATTCATTATATTAAAATATCAGACCTATTTGAAATTGCATCTCTGAATTTTGCCCCTCCTTTTTTGACACATGTATTTATAGCCTATTATTTTAAACTGTGACTCATATCTTAGGTGCTGTCCAAATCTAAAATTCTATGATTCTTAAGATCACTAATGAGTTAAGAACATGCAATTAATCAATATAAATAGAAATGACATTTAGAGGCAAGACAGGTCTGCTGGGCATATAATAGCTAAAAGCAAAAAGGTTAAGCAGATGTTCTAATGTAAGCCAAAGCAAAGAAATACTTTTAGGATTCAGGGAAGCATAAGTTGGCAGAGTTATGCAAATTTTAGAAGCAACAGCATCAAACAGACCAATTTGGGCAGAAAGTACAGAACAAGTCACTCTTTCTGAGCAACAATCATGTGCATTTCTACTGTGCAAAGTTCTTTCAGCTACAAACCAAAGAGGTCTTCAAGGGTACCCAATGTGTAAAGAATCGCTGGTCAGTCTGTCATACCTACACACAGAAATAACCCAGTCATTACAGAGTAATAGCAATGTATTAGCCAGGCAACTTTGATACAATGTGCCTTGTCATAAATAAACATGAAACTTTCACAGGGAGCCTGGCCTTGTTGTTATTCTAAATTTGAGGAAAAAGACCTTGAAGTCTATATAACGTATTTAAGTTTCTGGATAGAACGCAGTAAAAGGACAGAAACACTACTTCAGATTTAAGCAGCATTATATATCTGATGGCTGCTTTGTTAAATAATACATTTTAGTCTAGAACACTATTTCCTGCACTTTCTTAAATAAGAGGAGACTTCTAGAAGCCTTCATTACAATCTTTCACACTGTTCTTCCTGTCTGTTCCAGTAACAACTACTATTATTACACAAGTTGGTTATCATTTCCTTAATTCTGATTCCTTGCATTACAAGGTGAACTTAAGAGCAGTGTATTTGCCATTCATTTCCTCATTCACTAAACCCAAATAATGTGGACAAGCAGTTATAGGGCCACATATTATTTTAGGTACTGAAGCTTCAGCAGTGAACAAAACAGGCAGGTTCATGTCTTCAGAGAGCTTACATTTTAGTAAGAAACAGATATACAAAAAGGTAAAATGTATGAAAGAATGATAAATGGCAATAAAAGAAAAATAAAGCTAGGAAGGAGTTATGTAAAGGTGGAGAAGGGTGGTGTTTGGATTTTAAGAGCAGTCAGTTAGTGCCCATGAAGCTGGGGCTTTTGAACAGAGAGAGAGTGATGTGGAAGTGAGCCATGCATGTACCTGGATGCTATGTGTTCCAGAGGTTACAGGGGAAACATAGCTGGTGTGCTGAAAGAATTAGCAAGGAGCCTAGAATAGCTGAAATACAGAAAGTAAGAAGGAAAGCGAGACAAGCTAAGAGGAAAAAGCAGAGAGGGAATTTGGTCAAGAAGCTAATGGAAACACTCTACAGTGGAAAGACACAATCAAAACTCTTGCCTTAAGACCACTACAGGCTGGTATCTTGAGATAGTAGGGGACAACAATGGGATCAGGGGAAGTCAGATGCCACTTCAATAATTCTGGCGA